TTAACTTTTATAAAGAATCTGTTTAAAATTAAAAAATGAATTCTTTAAACATCAATTTAAAATAAACTTTTTTTTTAGGTTGTGAAATATATATTGAATCGATTAAAGTTCTGGAAAGCAAGTGCAGTTCCTCCAATTAATCAACCTATCGATCCGAATGCTGATCCTGCTCTTCATAAATTTACTTGGACGAATTGGGCAGATTCCTACTCGTTTTATTAAGTTACAATAATGATAATTTTAAAGGAATTTGTAAAATTTTTTAATCACTATAAACATAAAATGTAAACTATAACATTAATATTTGTAATTGATAATCAATAAATATTTGAGGTTTAAAATAATGCTTTTGTTTTCATTTTTCTGGTCTTTCAGTGTTTTATTATTATTATACTTACCGTAGGTTCTGCCAGACTCATTATAGATGCGGTCGGATGGTGAGGGACGGGACCCGCCATATTGGAGACAACCGCCTATGAATAACTACGTGTTACGATTTTACATCTTTGTCAAAAAAAATTCTTAACTGTATGCTAGAAAACAATTTTATCGTTTATAGAATAAAGAGGAGTGGGCGAAAACTGTAAACTGCCGGGCTGCAATTTGTAATTATATTTCAAATTTACTTAATTTAAAATATGTGAAATTAGCAGTGGCTTGTCTCTGTACTGTACAGTACATCGTACTTTTCCTTTAACAATAGAGTCGTGCTAGTCACTTATCTAACTCCTTTCTGGGAAAACTTTTGTACTGAAATAACGTAATTTCCGGTTTGCATCGGAATTCCTGTATATTTAATCGGGGCATCCTTCCCCTGGGATTTTCATATTTGATCTCGTCTCTCGTCTAAGTCCGTTCTCGAGATTAATGGAAGACAACCAGACAAATGGCAACAGTGGGGATTCATAGGTTTACAATGATTTCAAATCGCAGCCCGATGACACCGCACATTTCGTCGTCATGCAAATACGATAAGTGAAAGAAAGGCAAAGAAGAAAGTGACACCAGTGTTCAGGAATACAAGAAATTTTGTTGAAATAAAAAAATTGTGAATTGAAAACTCAGTTTGAAAACGAGTTTTAAATTTGAATGCTGACATTCGTTACCGGATGGCGAGATAAAGACGAAACCGAGATATTAGGTCGAGAGGTGATGAGAAAGCGTCGTTACTATGCCTGAGAACTTAACAAATGTTTTGCTTCTGGGTGTAAAAGTTGACAGTTATTTAACGAAAGTATAGCTACGATGTGACGTTAGGAGATAATAATATAAACATATTGAAAATCTGGATTAGGATCCTCACATATGCCATACTCAGAACATTATGTACAAAATTTTCATTCACAATATGTAGCAATATAACAGTTTTAAATAGATCTCTATTTAAAACCTGGATAAATTAAATCAAAAATATAATTATTTTCGATTTATCCACATCCTCATCTGTAATTATAAATTACCATCTTATCAATTTTTTTTATAAACCAAATATACTTCTTTCTTTATACATGATATAAAATTAAAAAATGTAATTACGAATAAGATTTTTTGATAGAACAGTAGAAAAAAGTTTCAAAAATGCTTGAAAACGGAAAACTACCTCAGTAGCGTAGCGTAGTGGGGACGGCAGGGAAGGCACATTTTAGGGCGCGGAAAAATTACGTTTTAGGGAGCGGCAAAATTTCACAATAAATAATAATAATATCTTGTAAGAATTTGAACCAATTTATTTCATATTTTCGTCCACCTACGACTCGGACCGATTGAAATGAGCACGGAATAGTGTTACCATCCACCCGGATAGTCCGGGAATCGACTCGCTGTCCGGGGATATCGTACGCAACCTGTTGCCCTTTTTTTGCTTGTATGATTTATTCCTCCACCGCAAGTGACCTAGCTGTATTGGATACTGGAGGTGTCCAATACATCTTGCAGTACTCCTATCCTAGTCGCTAACTGTAACTGATTTAGAACCAGCATGCACTGCACATTATTCTTTATTGCAAAATGACATACTCATGCGTCAAAAACTTCCGTTCGAACAAACCTCACCTGCCGTCCGGGTCAGCGATTTTAATAAGGTGGCAACACTAGCACGAAATTTTTCATTACTTATTCTGTGACGAAACTGAATTTTAGTCTTTTAAATTGAGATACCTAAATAAGGGGGCGGAGAAATTTTCCTCCGCCCCGGGCGGCTGACACCCACGCTACGCTACTGAACTACCTACTAACCAAATAGATAAACAAACTTCTCGTCTAACAGCGACTCTCATTCCAGCTGTCGGCAACCTGACACATTACTTAAGAGCATAGTTCAAGGACCAGTATATCTATCGACTCTGGTGTAACAGAGGAGACATTTTAGTTGCCAAATCGCCATTTTACCCGAGGCTGCACTATTTTTACTTTTTGTATATTCGGTACTTTTAAAATTTTACCAAATAACCGGGACAAAATGACAAACTGGCCGAGACGCATAGACCACATCAAATCAGGACAATCCCGGTTAAAGCGGGACGCGTGGTAAGCCTAACTAATAGGACTTGAGTCTTGGGCCCCCAGTTTTTGTTAATTTCTCCCGAACGACCGAGTGTCACGTTCGAGAGACAAGTCCGTGGGTCACGTCCCGGTAAAAGGTGTCGAGTCCGGGTGAAAAGTGTGTAATCCTGTAAGAATGTCGCATCCGCGCGAAGAAGAAGAAAATCGAAGAGGATCACCGCCTAGGCCAAGGGAACCACAACCGACCGCAGCAACAAAACCACAGATACCACGGTCCCTCGACTTCTGCGGCTCTCTCCTACCATTCCTCCCCGTTCCGACTTCCGCAAGGCAGTGGCGTCGCCTCGCGGACAAACAGGCAGAACACTACCAAACAGAAAGAGTCAACTCGGACGAGCCGTCACTTTCTACATTCTGCGCAGCAAGACCGTGGCCGGATGACCCCCGAAGTGGCCGGATGACCCCCGAAGACCTTGGCCAAGTGCGTCAGATCCAGTGTAGCGTGGCGTAATCCCTACACCGGGAGGATGCCACGCCACGCGCACTTGGGAAAGGTCATCTTCGCCCGCTGCCTCTCGCTCGTCCAGCCCACGCTCCTCCAACGTCTCTTCGGGCGCGGTAGGAGTCCAACAACGTCGTTCCGCGCTGTCCGAGGAACCCCCGTCCGGCGCCACGGCCTTCCTCCGCCGGAACCGCCTCTAAAACTGCACGAATCTCTTCATTCTGTAAAAAAAAAAAAAAAAAAAATTGCAATTATTCGAGTGAAAACAAAAGTTTAAATTAATAAAGCCAAAAGCTTAAACAGAAAGACAAAATGCTCATCGCAACTTCGTTTTTAAATCAAACATTCGAATCGAAAACGAAAACGAAAACGATAGGCCGAGATGGGTTCTCGCGACGATTCTTCCGGGAATATTAAATAAATTGTTACTTTAAGGTGAATATGGATTAACATGTAACTCAAAAATCTCTTTTCTTCTTTTGAAAATTCCGGAAACCGCAATAAAAGCACACAATTTACGAACGAAAGAAAATCACACCCGACTCCGAGCCAGTAGCGTAGCGTGGGTGTCAGCCGCCCGGGGCGGAGGAAAATTTCGCCGCCCCTTTATTTAAGTATCTCAATTTAAAAGACTAAAATTCAGTTTCNATTTATTACACAAAATTTAAGTAAAGCTTAACATGCCGATCTTGCCCCGATCTCCCCTAATAATAATGCAAAATTTTATAAATTACATCTTCATCCAAAGAAAGATTGAAAGGGAAAAAGTGGTTTGTACCAAATATTTTTGAGTATTGACATTAAATCAAAATTATTAATTTATATGCAACATAATTTAAACGCTTTAAATACAGTAGTTTTTGGGTAGATGTTAACTTTATATAATTTTCTGAATAGCCTCTTATTTGTTTATTGATAGAATCAGCAAAACAATTCTGAATAAGTATGTAACAATTTCAACTAATATAATTTTGAAAAACACTCAGGAAAGTTATCTGAGAAATTCTACCGAGACATAATTTCTATTTAAGCCTAAAGATGGCCTATAGAGTAGGCCGAAAACGTTAGTTTTCAATAAAACTATCTCGGCAACAAGAAAGGTGTGTTGTGATAAGCTAATCTTATAAAGAGGTAAAGTTTGTAAGTTTGGATGTAGGGGTAATCTCCGAAACTACTCATCCGATTTCAAAAATTCTTTCACTAATATTTATAATGGAACTTCAGGGTGGACATAGGCTGTATATTATTCCGGTAAACATTCGTGTAAATTAAAAGATATCATCTAGAATTAAGGCTTTTACGTCCAACAGATGGCGCTAACTCCGCGAGTACGACGATCTAAATTTGCTTTTCTATGAGGATGAACTGCTTTAGTTCATCCTCATAGAAAAGCAAATTTAGGTCGTCGTACTCGCGGATCATCTTCTATCTATTTACATAAATAAAAATGTTCGTTTGTTCCTACCGATTCCTTTGAAATTTTGACACAACGTGCATTCGAATAAGCACGTGTTTTTATATAATATACGTGTCGAAATTTCCCCCACTGGGGGGAGATAGACAGGATTGAGGCTTACCGTGAAAAACTTTGCTTCTATTTATACTGTTTTAAATCCGGTTTTTGTGTTTTGATTGCGTTTTAATAGGGTACATCAAGAGAATGTACACTAAGAAAGAATTTTTCGAAAAATTCCCACCCCATAGAGGAAGTGTTATACATTTATAATAGAAACATTTTGAGACACAACAATGCGTGGCGGGAGTCTGATAGTCAAATAATTAAAAAATAATAATATTCAAAGAACGAATATTCTGGAAAGTTTTGGATTACTTTAATAATTTTTAGATTGTTCAAGAATGTTCTATAATATTCTATACTATTTCTGGAGCTTTTGGACATTTCCGATAAGATTAACTGAGGTGACCACCATAGTGCACGCTGAACCTAAAAGAGGTGAAATTTGGAACACAGTTACAGTACGCCATGAAAACGCACACTAAGAAGTGCTTTTTCGAAATTCCCCCGCGGGGAGAGAACGATTGTAAACGTTCCGGAAAATTTATCAAATTAAAAACAGTTCGTTTGATTCTCAGTAATTGTCATCATTCTCAGCAACAGGTGTTAAATAACAATTACTATAATTGTTGAAATATTAAGTGTAAATAGGGTTTGCTTGCAAAATCCGCGCGAGCAAAGTAACATATGTCTATAGAGAGATGTTTGATAGTTTTATATTAAATGATGTATAAAGAATATATTTCAGCCGTTTGTTTTTATATACAGTATATGAAAAAGTTTGAGCGCTAGACATCTGTAAATTTCATTTCTATAATTTTATTTATTAGAAAAAACACCATTATCTTTAAAAAGTGAAAATAATACTTTCTGAAATATCTCAAACCAATTAATGTATTTACGTAACACATGACGTAAAAATAGGATATGATCATAATACGTCACGCGTTGTTAAAAATATATTCTAACAATACTTAACGAATTGTTGCAATGTATTGTTCGTTTTTTCTATTGTAGATGACCATTGTAAAGACAGGAGACGCCGACGAAAGGCGAAGAAGGCTCTCTGTGTCCCGAATCTTTAAGGCTTGTTCGGGTGAAGACAGGAGATGCTGACGGGGCGAAGAGGGTTCTCTGTGTCATGTTTCTTTAAGGCCCGCTGGAGTAAAGAGGCCGACGAGAGATGGAGAGTCCTCCGAGTGTCCCGCATGTTTAAGACCCGGTCAAATGAGACATCGACGAAAGGCGAAGAAGGCTCTCTGTGTCCCGAATCTTTAAGGCCTGCTCGGGTGAAGACAGAAGACGCCGAAGAAACGCGGAGAAGGCTTACTGTGTCCCGCTTTATTAAATTTCTCGCACGGCGAGTATTTTTTATTTTTGTTTATTGAGGTTCGGTATGAGTTTGAAGTAAATTTTGTGGGCCTAATGTGAGTTTTATTACGACCTGGCATCTTAGTGGGTTTCTTTTTTTTATTATTACTAGTTGTTATAGTATTGCATTCATTAGTTTAGATAATAACAATAGGGTGATTTTCGAATAGTTGAATTTGAAGTATTCAGAGAAAATTATAAATATTTTCATTGTGTGAGTTAGGACAAATGAAACTCGACAAGTGATGTCAGTCGCTTATAAAGTTGCATTCTTTCCAACTCTTGGTGGAACTCTGAAGCAGCCACCTCCATATGGTGAGTTCTGGGTTGTCGTTCGTCTAGAAATGACGAAGGGCAAGTGAAGCGCTGCTTGTTTCTTTCAATCGATAATAAGGAATGAAAAAACATGCCAATAAAAACAGAAATTACAAAAGTAATTAAAGTTAGGAGAATTAAGTATCTAACTTTGTTATAAATCGCTTTAAATTTTGTCTAAGTGTTAATTCGCTTGTTTTAATCGTGATCCTGAATTTCAATTCATCCTAGTTTTGAATTATTAAAATATACAGTAAGTCTAAAATAAAATGTTTGTTAGTTTTATATTAAATTTTAAGGTTAGTTCACACTGTGCGAATAGTGAAAGCGAATGAGAAAAGCGAAAGCGATTTTTATTCGCTTAGCGAAATTGATCCACACAACCAAAAGCAAAAAACGATTTCGAAATTTAAGCAGTCGATCATTTGCAAGTAAGAAAAAACGTTATCTCGAAAACCAAAATGGCTGCTTCCGATATTCTGTCGTTAACCACGTTTGTTTATTTATTAAGAAAAAGAAATGCGTAAAAACGAAAACGATGCTGTGTGGGAGGAATGTTAAAAACCGTGAATTAGAACATTAACTTTATTGCGCCAGAAAGTTTCTGTAACCATCTTGAAAACAACAAGAATCACGTGACAACTAGCGGGAATACGATTGATGGCGAAATTTTTCTCGCTAGCTAAAACGCTCGACAGTTACGGTGCGACTATGCAGACGCGAGCAAGCGAATTTTCCGAGTGAGCGAGAATATGTGGCGAGAAGAGACGAGACGCGATAAATATCAAAACCTGTCAGATATGTGCGAGAACCAGAAATTCGCTCTCGCCAGCGTTATTTCTCGCTTCTCGTTTGTGCGCTCGCAACCTCTCGCTCGCTCTAAATTCGCGTTTGCATAGTCGCACCCTTAGAACTTCGAATCGATTCGCGAAATGGTAAAATTTGCCAGAAAGACGTTATGTCTGACGTGTTAATTAATCGCTCTGTTTTTCGCTTTCTCCAACGAATCGGCTCAGTGTGAACTAAGCTTTAGTTTCAATTAGTGTTTGGTGAATACTACCCGCGAACAAACGACTACTCTAAAGTATTCGAGCATTCAATATTTTTGGGTACCTCATTGATAAAAATAATAAAATATTGTTTCGGTCCTTAGAGGATCTTTTTAGCAAGTTCGAATACTGCCAGACTTGAATACGGGTGGCGAAATACGGCATAAGACATACCCGTAGATATCGTCTTTGAAAAATTCCTGGTCTTTCGACCCGTCTCGATTCGATTCCGAGTTCCCAAAGCTATAGTTATAGCTATATATTGAAATCGTTCAGCCAATCGACCATTGAATTCGAATAGTACGAATACCTCTAATATCGCTTCAGTGTTTACATATAACAACCTCCTTTCAGCTTGTTTGTCAGGTAGATAGAACCAATTATTTCCAAAGTGTCTGCAAAATTTAGGCAAATTACAGAATTTCATCCAAAAATTCTTCACAATACTATCAATATCAATCAATCAATCTTTATTATTTGATGTAACGGATGTAATTGCAAAGGGGTATAATACACAATACTGTCAATATTACAGATACAATTTTAATCTTTTCAATACTCGTGTATACAGTCGATCCCCTATAATTACGGTCCCTATAATTACGATTCCTATAAAACTACGAAAAAATTGTGACCGGTATCCGTAAAAAACAGTAAAAAAACCCTTATATCTTATAGGGGGTTTTTTACTGTTTCCAAAGAATGGACCGTATCTATATCTTATAGGGGGGTCGACTGTATATTCATATAATATAGATACATATATTTGAATCGTGTATATATTGGTATAATAAATCAGTAAATATCCTTTTGAAAATTATAATTGTTGTAACTTAATAAATCAAGTAGGAATCTGCCCAAGTTGTCCAAGTGAATCCATGAAGAGCGGGATTAGCATTCGGATTGATACTTTGGTTAACCACAGGAATTTGACTTGCATTCCAAAACTTCAATCGTTCTAGCATATATTCCACAACCTACAGAAAAAATTCATTTTAAGTTAATGCAAAAAATTTTTAAAAATTATTCTTTAAACATTAGTCATCTTTGCCTTTATATTACAATTATCTTTGAATATCTTGAATTATCTTCTCGTGCAGGCGAAAGCCAACGACTATTTTCTATTGGAAAACATCAATTCTTGTCTACCTGATCAATGAAATTGTGCTTTTCTATAGTATCTGAGTATTGTAATCTTAGCAAACATAAAATATGTAGGCTACTTGGAGTTTTCCATTATACCAAGATGAATTTTTGGTCCATTGTCTCTAAATCCGATTGTTCATTTGTTTTTCTTTTAATAAATGAATTTAAATTAAAACAATTTGTCGTTTTATTATTATTATTATTATTATATGCTTTCTATTAACTTAAACTTGCTCTGTCTGTCCATACAAAATCTTGTTATTCAGTTTTTACCCACTTCTCAATTAAATGCTAAACAAGAAGAATTTCGATAATTCGGTGTTACATATAACATTTCAAAAATGTTTTAATGAAACGCTTTTTATTCACATAAATGCACCAAAATTAAAGTAAAATGTAAGCTAAAACAACTAAACTCTTAATAAGGTTTCCATTTCAATGTTTCTTGTTACTTTTTGCCAAGGTATCATCTGGCATATCTACTGTCAACTATATTCTCTTGAAAAAATTATATTTTCCTAATCATATTCATTTTAATTTTATATAAAATAACTTACATAGACAAAATTATTAATGTATTTAAGGTGTTTGCCTTCTATTTTAAGATACCCGAGATCGATTTCAGTCCCACTTATGTCAACCACCCCTCACCGTCTTGTTGCCCTATGATTATAGAGAAAATAACCTTTCAGTGTTCACAAGGTGAAAAAGTTTTAAAAAAGTCATTTACTTCAATTAATTAATTTTATGATATATAAAATAATTTTTCTTACCTTTGGTTGTTCGTTTGCAATATTTTCCAGTTCGCAAGGATCTTTTAATATATCAAATAAGCATGGGGCTGAATTAGGATCACAATTACTATTATTCCTTTTCGAGTCAGAATAACAGTTATCTGGCAATTTGGTGAAAAACTTGTGAGTATTGTAGAGTAATCCTTCCTCTTTAAGAACTTTCCAAGAATATGAGGAGCGAAGTAACTTTTTGTAGCAGGAAGAAAAATAATCATCGTCTCTACCGGAAGGTCCGTACCACGCATTGTATTCTCCGTTAACATTCGATCCATTTACCAGTTTGTAATTTCGGAATCGAAGAGCTGAAGCACCGTCGATTGGATCTATATTATGAAGAATTTCTTCTCGAAATGTAGGTTTGCCGTGAGCTAAAACCTCCCATTGATTTATTCCATAAATATCTGTTAAATCTTTAACATCGCCACCTAATAAAAAGTAAAGCTTAATAAAGTGGATAATCAAACATAAGGGGGAGTCGCGAGAAGTAGCTTGAAGACTTGTGATATCGAGAATCATTTGATGACGCCATAAGTAATGTTGTCATCTGAAGAAATAGTTAAACTTTTAATGTTTATTTGTTAGGGAGAACATTTAGAATAAGAACTCTTATAATAGCATTTAAAACTCCGAATAAATAAATAAACAATGAAATGATTTACAATTATAAAGTTTAAATCTGATTACTTTCATAGCTGAAGAACAGAATCGTAATATCATCTAGTTTGTTGAGTTAACTCATAAAAGTTCTCCTAAAATTTCCTTGCTAACGCCTAATTAAGTTGGCAGACAAAACTTGAGAATGAATTAGAACAAAATTGAAAATTAAGGGCTAATTAAGTTCTATTTAAGTGATCAGTTTTAAAATTGCATCATTTAAAAAAATTGTATATTCTGCTTGATTAAATAAAAGTTAGCACACAAACAATGAGGAAAATAAATGATTAAAATCTTCATTAAGATCGACCCCATTCGAGATACGACACATTACTCCCCCTCTATCTCATCCCCTTGACCTTTAACTAAAGAAATTTAATATTAATATCAATCCCCTAATACATAAACCTCCCTGGCGATCAATGAAAAAAATGACTCCCCGAGATTTTTGGACTCAGGGGGCCTTGAAACATCGAGAAATCAAAAAAATTCACGAGTTTTTTCTGTATGAATGTTTGTATAAGTGTGTGAGGGGAATGATTTTGCTCATTCAGTTTGAAGCTTTATAACTCCTGTATGTTTTGTCGAAATTTCCTGAAATTTTGCAGAGAAGTTTGGGTATTAGGGAGATTGATGCTATTAAATTTTGGTGGTTAAAGGTTAGGGGGGTGGTGAGATAGAGAAGATATTGTGTGTCATATTTCGAGTAGGGCCGGACTTAATGACGATTTTACTCGTTATTAGCATTTATAATTTTTATAAAACTCGTCTCTACCCTTAAAGTTAAGCTTTCTGCTTTTTTTAATACTGTAATTAATAATGTAAAAAGTTTTTCAATACTTTATCATAGCAGATTGTGCTACACACAGTTTTAAGTGTTGTTTCCAGGAAAGTTACGCCTTCTTGTTGCTGTAATTTTTAGATGTTTCTTTCGGATATCTTTTTTAAAATGCGTATTTTGTCATGGTACTTCATGGTACTCCCAGTTTCTACATTGACAAAATTAAGTGCTTCACCTTCTACATTGATAAATTAAGTGCTGTTTCTCTAATTTTTCAAATAGGAAAAATATATTCAACTGTCAATTTAGAGAAGTGATTACTCCTAGATACTTTGGAACAAACTATCTGTACGGATCTGATATTCACAAAATACATATCACCTAAAAAAAAAAAGTATTTTAATAATTTTTGCTATAAATTATATTTTTTGTTTATGTTTACGTTTACGTTTATTAGAAAGTTACATTTTTACAATTTACTTTTTTTTGTAATATTTTTCTATAATTATATAATTTATTTAAATTTAATGCATCCAATTGAAAAAAAAGATTGAGTAATGTGACAATTTAATTTAATCACAATATTGTAGAAGATTGAAGTTATTCGGTTTTTTTAAAAATGCTACAGAATAATATATAATATTACAACGATCAGAAAAAAAGTTATCTTTCAATGACTGAAAATTACGTAAAATGTTGATAAAAATGTGAATTAAAAGGAGAAATTTTTTGTTTCTGATTATTCAATGAAAAAAAAAATTGATTTTGAATAGTTCATTATATTTAAAAAATGAAAAATACCCAACTTCAGACCTTACAAAACAATTTTTTTCAAATTAATTCAAATCTTCAAAACTTAGATTACCAGGATACCATATATGTAATATCCTGGTAATCTAATTTTTAATTGTAACGTCTAAAATTCTAGTAACTTTACCAGACAAATTTAGCTACTTCGTAAGTGCACAGGACTTAACTCCTACGAAAGAAAAGACGTTAAACAATTTGACAGCTAGACTGCTTGCTTAAAATACGATTTCAAATACAAGGCGAACCGAGAATAGAATAAGTAACATTTAAAGAGCATGAAACCTGCGATATAAAGGAAAAAAAAAACAGTTATCGCAAAAGGGACAGTGAAGTAGCATGTTATAAAAGCCACATAGCTAAAGCTTGTCCTTAGAACAACAACAAAAAATGGGAAATTTATAAAAAGGACAATCATATTGAAAAAGACTGCTGCTTAGAAACTAGAAGACTGGGAAGTAAGAACTTTCCGTTCTTCAAGTTCTTGCGTCCAGAATATATAATGTATTAACTTCTTCGAAATTGAGTTTTAGAACTTTGCAAATTGTTTCATCTTCAAACTACACTCAGATTCTTTGAATATTGTATATCAATCACATCTTATTACTGAGAGACTTGGTGTGGTTGATATACAATGTTTCATCTTCGTTATAAAATAAATCATATCGAATTTTATATGGTTTATCGTCTTTTATATGGACAGTAAACGTTTCTTCACTGTAAATCTGTGATATTTCCACCCCCGGTGATATTACGTCAGTATTAACATCTTCAGCCTTATTTGTACAAAGTATTTTACGTCTTCAGAAAAATTCAATATGCTCAACAAAAGCGTCTGCTCTTTGTATATCATTTTTTCTTTTTCATTTTTAACTTAATTTTCTTTATAAATTACTGTCTTACTTCTGTCAACAGTGGATTATTATATCCTCTGTGCAATCGTTTTATATATAAGTAAACTTATATGAAAACATATTTTTGAAATTAGTAAGTAATTAGCAATTAGCCTAATTGATATAAAATGAATTTTTCACTAAGTATTTACTTTGCCTATTATTTGTTCTACTGTCTGCTTACTTTTATTTAAGCTAGCAGAATATATAATTCTTTTTTTAAAAAGATCAAGCACTCAATTCTTAAATTTGAGTACTTAAATAGAACTTAATTAGCACTCAATTCTCAACTTAATTCCAATTCATTCTACTAACTTTTGTCCGCTTAATTAACAAGAATCCCTCGTAATCGTGCCCGATTATCTCGAGTTTTTATTAAAATAAAAACTCGAGACAGAACGCTATTTTCGTTAATTAGTAATAATATAAATAAACTGCAGGTAAACAGCATATGGCCAGTCAGAATCTCACAGGTTGCCAAATAGGTTTTATAAAAAGTAAAGTAAAATTCCTCGAAATGTAGCCCATATCATTCTTAGAGTAGCCGATAAAAAAAAGTAAGTCACCCTAATGTAGTAACTTAGAACCCTACAAATATCTCAATCTGTTAATTATAGCTCAATCTGAAACTTCCGAAATCCAGTCTATTTTATGAGAAGAAAAAATAACATATTTCATGGATAATGTATCATCCGAAAATGTGTTACTGTAAAAGCAAAGCCATATTGACCAGATTAGAGTTGTTCTCGGTCTATTGTTCTCTTATAGTATGGAGACACTTCGATCTAAACAAACGAGTTAACATACGCGTATCACAGTTTAAACAGAATTTTAACTTCGAAATTCGAAGTAGCCATATTTCGAACTAACCGAATTCCATAACGTGTAAATCTCTATATCCCCGACCGGGGATATAGAGATTTACACGTTACGGTTACGAACTAACGGGATTTCGAACTATACAAGTTCAAATGTATGAGAATTTCTGTGTAGGATAGTAAGTAACCGACTCCTGAGCCTATAGTTACAGGCTGAGGAGTCGGTTACTTACTCAAGGCGTCAACAAAATCTTCGTGCTGCTTTTCGCGAGTCACCTAATCCTTAAATTTAATTAATATTGCATCCTGCAATTAGTTGGCAAAACATTAAGTAAATCAGAATACCTGCAGCATGATAAAATGTCGGTAACCAATCAGTGATGTGAATTAAGTTCCTTTCGATTCTCGGTTGTTGCTTGAACAGTTTACTCCATACAAGTCCAACTCCTCTCACTCCTCCTTCCCATAAAGTTATTTTATTTCCTCTTAAAGGAAAATTCGAACCAACTCCACCTCTTAAACCAGCAGCTTCTCCACCATTATCCGTAGAAATCACAAAAATTGTATTATCTAACATAGAATTATCTTGCAAGGCCTTAAAAACTCGTCCAACTGACTTATCTAATTCTGAAACCATTGCTAAAATAATAAAAGATAACGGATTTTAAAAAATTGTATTACTATGTGCAAACAGTTTAGTTAGTTTGATTAAATCTCCATATTCAATTTAATATTTTATGCATATTTAAAACGTATTTACCTGCAAAAGTTCTTCTATCTGGGTTTTCTATACATTCAAATTTGAAGACTTCACTTTGAGGTGCTTGAAATAGATCATATGAGTTTCCACTGTGCACAGCATTCGGTGATAGATACAGAAATAATGGCTAAGACAATAACAAGCGTATGTATTTATATTAATTTTATATTTTACAAAATATAAAAATTAATAACTTATTATACACAAATTAACAACCTTTTGTTTTTCGTGATTTTTAATAATATCGATTGCTCGTTCTGTGAATAAATGAGTAGCATAAATTCCCTTATATTCTCTGGCTACTCTTTCGTTATCTCTTAAGGAATATCCCCAGGCATACTGAAACACAATAAAAACAAAATACAATTATTTGATAATAATTTATTATGAAATATATTTAGATTTCTAACTTTGAAATTCTACTTAAATTACCTTTAAAGAAGAATTTTCATAAGTTTGTAATGAAGAATATTTGTAATAATCTATTCCTCCTGTCCAAAACCCAAAAAACGAATCAAATCCTCTTTCCGTTGGAATATATTCTTTTTTGTAAAATCCTAAATTCCACTGAAATATAATTTTTTTTAGGAAAAACTATAATCCGTTTTATGAGCATTATAAATATATCAATGATAATAAATACTAAAAAAAAGTTGACTATTTTCATTATAAAAAATTAAATAAATTTTTGTACAGTATATAGTATATTTTCATAAAGCAATATTCAACTTGTGTGGGTCCACCTTGCCGCATTTCCGATGAATTTGCGCATGTTGGATAACCAGTGGCGGACTGGACAGGGTGTCAGCTTGCCCGATGGCAAGTGTTCCCCCTTAAACAATATACAAGATGTTAAAAATGTTAATGACTATTTTTAGCTTAATAATATAATAGAAGCTCTAATATTATTACTATATGCATCTAAAATTTACTTTGTATTATTATTTTATTAAATAATTTTTAGGATACTTTATATTTAAGAATAAAATAAATAACTCTGATTCTGTTTACAGGGTATGTTATGCAGACGTATACGTTATTTAGGCTCGGTGCGGCTAGTACCTAGAGCGGCTGCCCAACGAAGCTTACAAGTTAATGGAAATCACAACATGGGATCGTGACGTGCAGTCGGAGTCAACTTTATATCGAGCTTTTGCATACACTGCAAAGGCAAGAAATATTTTTAATTGCATAGGTCTCAGTTTGAGTGTGTTTCGTCAGCTGTTGATAATATGTTGGTTGTGTTTTAAGTGTTATTTTTATTATTATTTTTGTATACAGTGACCCTGTACCTTTTAATTTAATTATCAAAGATTATACACATCATAAAGATGTTAAGCAAACAAGCACTGCTTTTTCGAGATAACAGAAATGAAAAGTCCGATCCTACTCGAGATATGACACATAACCCGATTTATTTTCTTACCCATCGAACTTTGTGTGTAACTACCAAACTTTAATAGCATCACTATCAATACCCCTTACGTACAAGTTACCACGCGAAATTTCATTTCTTTACTCCATCTTGATATATTAATCGAAATACATAGCCTATATACACAAACACATATATATCCACGGAATTTTCTTCTTTTTTACTTTTTTGGGGTTTCAAAACGCCGAAGTTTGCAAAAAATGGAGGAATAAATTTGACAAAATCCCAATACTTTCCGGTGTGAATCTCAACTTTGCAACAAATTGAGTAAAAATATTTATTTTCTTCAATCAATCTGATTAGAAATTGTAACAAAGAAATTTAAATATTCGCCTGAAAATTAAATTGATATTTACAAATTTAATAAAATATGAATTAATTTGTGAATGAGTAAATTTCACTTAATTTCAAAGTGTAGAAGTAAATATGACTATTTTTTAAGAAGCACGCTGTAGGCATTTTAAATGATATAAAATGGCAGTTAATAAAGTAAAAAATATTTTCCTATATGTTAAAATTATCGTTAAAACAAACCTTTCCAACACCATGACATTGATAACCAAATCTCTTTTTCAAATATTGAGGCATAGTTTTCGTTTCCAATGGTAAAGCAGCTTGCTGTGCATCACGTATTACCGAATGCTGAAGACCTAAAGTATTTTTATATCAGTGACTTTATTTATTAAAACTATTTGTATAAATCTTGAAATATTTATTCTATAATATTTAAAAACATTTTTGTATGTTTAAATATTTATTATTGAAACGTATTTCTATAAACTTACCTATATGTATTGGATGTTTTCCAGTAAGTAACGCACCTCTTGATGGAGTGCATATGGGTTGAACATAATAATTTTCTAAGGTTATCGAATTGGCAGCCAAAACATCGATATTTGGTGTCGGTATTTGTAAAGATCCGTGATAACTTACGTCGTTCCATCCCTATTTATAAAAGTATCGTTATGTTACTATTTAAAAGTATAATAATAATAATAATAATAATAATAATATTCGAAACTTTTAATCAATATAATTATTTTAATTAATACTATATAACTGAATGAAATACTTACAAGATCGTCGACGAAATAAAATATAATGTGAGGTGGATTTCCTTGGGTGTAAGAGAAAAGACTAAGTATAATTATACAGAAATTCCATTTTATTTCGAATGCCATTGTTCCACAAAGAATCAGCTTTGAAAGAATGCAATTCGGCTTGATTTAATGCGTTCAGTTGATGTGATATACAAAATTATTTTCTGCCTTCTGTTCTAGTTTATACACACAATAATCGCTTTAATGACGTGATTACGTAAAATAAAAATTAAAAACTACATAAAGAAAAATATATGTTTTTTTCATCAAAATATGTCAGAAAAAGAAATATATTATATGACTTAAATCGTTTCTATGAATCGTTTCTAGTAATAACCTTTTTTACAAAAGCAAAATAAATTATACAATATGTTAACTATACATACTAAAGTTTAAAGGGAAAAAATATGATAAAAATGAGTATGGGAAGAGTTTAATAATATACAAATAAACTAAACCGGCATTTAAATGATAATTACCTATTACCAAATTAATATTTTATTTAATACAGTAATACCCCGACTTACGCTACCCCGACTTACGCGAACCCGGAGTTACGCGATTTTCAAATCTCGTCGATTCGTCTTTTGTTTGAGCGCCACGCAACCCTTGATTACTCACTCCCCCCACACTATTGTTCAGCTTACATGTTCGGTTGTGTCGCGCGGAATCCACACATAGCTACAATTTATTTTGTGTTATTTATTTCTGTGTTTGTTATATCTACGGAGACTCGAGAGACTCTACTATGTCATCCAAACGAAGTAGAACTAATTCTTCTGCATCAAACAAGAAAAGAAAAACTTTATCTTTGGAATGTAAAGTTAACATTGGGTATGTTCGTAAAGTCGAACGAGTTAAACGAGAATGACGTCATCGTTATTCCTATTTCGTTAGACTTTTCGAACGATTCGTTACTAACGCGTTTAACTCGTTTGACTTTACGAACGTACCCATTATTAAAGACTTCGATACAAAAATGAAAATTTGTGAATTGGCAAAGAAGTTTGATCTACCGGAATTGTCGGTCAGAACAATTATAAAAGGCAAAGAAAAAATTCTCGAAGCTGTGAAAAATGCTCAATCTTTAAATTCAAGCATCATTCGTAAACATCACAGTATTATCGCTGAGATGGAAACAATGTTAAAATTATGGCGTAATAATCAAGTAAATGTGATAAATTGTAAAATAATATAGGCCTAATTTGTTATACATATGTATATCTAAGATTTTATTAAACATTTTTTTCTAAATTATTGTTTTCTTCAGTCTCCGGCCCCAATTAAAAATTATTTGTATGTATTTATATGCGAAATTATACCCCGACTTACGCGAATTCGACTTACGCGGTTACCGCTCGGTCCCACCTATCGCGTAAGTTCGGGGTATTACTGTATTCATCTGTCCTCGAAGTTTACGAAAACTTATCAAAAATCAAGAAAGACGATAGAATGTCGGATATGAAATAAGCAGGGTATAAACTACTGTATACTCCGCTGAAAATCTACAAAAGTTCGAATTCGGCGTACGAAACATGAACTGAGAATATTAAAATATTACGAACGAAAAAGTGAGACTGGTAAACTTAATATCTAACTCTAACAGTGAAAAACAATGGGCACAGGCCCCAGACTATTTCAAGCTAACAGGGCAAAGCAAAATCAAGAATTTGAATAACGTTATATTTAGAAGAGTAAAAGCAAAAGAAACCAATCATCTCTAATTAACAACATATGTAGACTCTAAGAAAGTGCAGGTCAAGTACAGGTAATTTAAACATCCCCAACTTGTATCCTATAATTTTTTTTCTTCTTCTAATGTCTATTTATAAACTATATCGTTTGTTAGAAATGACTATAATTTATAAATACTGTTCCACGTTTGGCTGTATTTTTTCACTTATAATCATTCTTAGAGGATCAGCAGAAATTTATTCAGAGTTATCTTTGACTAATAATGCCGATATCATAAGGTACTGTCTGATATCTTAAATTTTAGAGTCCGGCTTTGTGTTAAAGTGTCTGATCTACTAAAGTCCTTAGAAAAAGCTATATCCAAGCTATACAAGCTACCTTTATTCACCGGAAATTAAATAAGACATATACCAAGTTATTAATGTAGATATAATTTAGTTTTATATGATTTGTTTGTACCAGCTCCCTAAGTTGTACTGCTGATCAAAAATTTTAAATTAAAAATTACATCGATATCAAAAGTTTTATTTTTACGCTATAAATGCTACAGCAGAGTGTAAGAGGTTACTTACTGTTATTGTTTTTATGAAAACAGAAGCACGGCAGATTACTTTCTGTGACTCCTGACAGCACGAAAATATACAGTTTGCTTAATATGTTAAGGCGAGTTCGATTCAATCGATTACTTTAACAAAACATGTAAACCATAAACGTCATTAATATATATTTTTTAAAAGTAGAATTAAAACCATTCTCGAATTTTAAATCATCATTTAATTAACATTAATCCTTATAGTTTCGGATGAAACTCTTAATTAAACTTGATTAGCATTTGAAATAATTATTTTAAAAAATTCATCTATTANGAATATAATTGACCTATAAAAATACACTCATTTGTCCGATTGTTAATTAGCACTTAGGTAACAAATATTTATATTTATTCATAGTAGACAAGATTTTTATTATAACATTATAATAAAAAATAACATTATATACATGGAGTTATGTATAAATTTATATTAATGTTGTATAGTATTAATTTTATGTAATTTACAATAAGAGTATTGTATATGCTAATATCAAACGCAAACCTAATAGAAATTTCATAAATTTATTTATCTGTATAACATTCATCAGATAGGTCGACCAGATCCCCAAATTTCAGTTGTAATTCATTTTTGTTTGTATAGTTGTAATATATAACTTTTTATTGTGTTTTTTTAAGTTAAGTAGTGTTTTATACTTTTAATAATTCCTTCAAACTGAGATAACATAGCAGATAAATGTTAAATGTAAATGTTTCATGTCAATTTGTTATCAATATTCAATCCTAAATATAATTTGGATTGATTAAGTTTTAATCTATAATTGCCAATAAATAATTTTAGTTAATATCGAATGAAGAATTTCGATTTTTACATATAGTACCGTAATTTTTTTCAAATTAACAGATAATTTGTATTGTTTTAAACAATGATGTAGTCTATCTACACGTGTATTCATTTGTTTACATAAATTTGACACGGATGTTGAATTACAAGTGAATTACAACAAAATTTTCCATCCAGGTTAGTATGTCATTGATGTAAATATTGTAAATAGAAGACCTTATACAGAACCTTGTGGGATTCCTGTTTATAACGAAAATAAATTTCAACGATTGTTATTTAATTGTATAGTTTATATTCTATTCTTTAAGTAATTGTCAAATTAGTTCAGCATAAATTCACGAATAATAGAATTTTCCAATTTAATAAGTAGTATCAAAAGTCTTTGAAATATCTAAAGAGACTGCTAACAACTTGACTTTAATCTAAATGTTTAGTTAAATATATATAATAATCGATTAATGCATCCAGTGTTGTTGTTTTCCTCTGAAGCCATGTTAACTTGGTGACAACAAATTATTTTTGTTGTAAAATTACATTAATTTATTATTTAGTACAATTTTAGTTATTTCTGTAACATGTTTTTATTTTTTAGCAATGTTAAATGACAAAAAATAATTTTTTTCAAAAAAGACTGTACTTGCAACATTTGCAAATCTATAATAATGTCTCTCATCATTAATTATACATGATCTTATTTCAGCTGTTACATTTTTGTTTTTACCCTTACTATCAATTCAAGCTAATTCCTGTTTAATCTCAAATCCCTAAATAACTTCTCTCTCTAATAATCCCTAATTTAGCGAAGAGAATTCACAAATAAATGTATGCTTTGAAAAATGTTGAAGAAAACTTGTCATTTATTGTTACAAGATTGCACGAATCGATTCACAGATTATATGAATTGAAGAGGATTGAAAAGGAATAAATCACAGAAACCATTTCTGTAACAATCGAACAAATTAAGCCATATCAAGTTTTATCACGAAGCAAACAACATTATGCAGAATGATGTATTTGTTGGCTTATTTAGACAGAAAAGATGGACAGTTACATTGTTCATTACTAATTAAAAATACTGAAAGATGTCCTGCAAATCGTCGTGCTTTTTAAGAAGAAAGGAATGAAATAATTGCGAATTGTAAGAAACTTTTAAAGCCTGATATTTCATAATTCTTGTAAGCAGCTAAACCAGCCAAGAGACATTGTTTTTTCCTTTATTCAAAGGACAACCTTTAAATCTTTTCATCTATATGTAACAGAATCTTGTGATGATAAATCCATTACAACACAGAAATTAACACATGTGAGAAGTGTTCAAATACGGACAAACTGATGAAATAAAAATGCAGACAATAAAAAAGCAGGGTATGACAATAGTTCAAACTTATAAAAAAATTCTGTGTGGCATCATATGTTATCAAATGTTATTAAAAAATAAGTTTTATGTTATTAATTATTATAAAAACGCAAAAAGACGTACTTTTTGAAGGTAGAGATGAGTTTTTAAAAATATTGTAAATGACTAATAGGTAAATAATAATAATAAGTAAAATTTTCATTAAGTCCGACCCCACTCAAGACATGACACATGAAGTTTCTCTACTCACTTTCTCGTATTCAGTACTACAAAATTTAATAACATCAACGCTCCTTAAATACAAGCTATCATGACAAATTTTGTTTCTTAAACTTTACACCATCCTGAGATGTTAACGAAATACACGCGAAATGAAAAAGAATCCGTTTTTTTTCTGTGTGTATTGATGTTAATGTGTGGAGACATAATTTGTTCACTCACATTGAAGCTTAATAACTCTTGTGTCTTTTGTTTAAAGTTTCTGAAACTTTACAAGATGGTTTGTGATGGAAAACGAAGTGAATGGTTAAGCGAAGCAAGCAGTGATAAAAGATTTGGTGAAGCGAGTGGAGGTTAGTTTGAAGGGATTGACGTCTCGCGAAGTTTGAATCACTACGAAATTTTTGTTATGAATACTCTAAATAAAAAATTAAATTGGGAAAAGGTGGAGCAAGCCCGTAAGCGTGCGAGTGACCGTGGAATTGAAACGGATTGCATTTCGAACGGATCTGAACTTAGTTTACGTTATCGAAACTTCACTCAAAATTAGAGAATGACGGTATAAGTTTTATATTATAGACATTTTTGTTAACAGTCGTTTTATATTGGAAACATGTAGACGAAGCAAGTAAGAAATTCCCTAGTAATTATTATTAAGTAAACTCTATATTGTTTAAGCCGTATAATTATTACCATTTAAAAGATCTTAAAGTCGAAAACTGCATTTAAATTTATACTATCGTTTTCAAATTAAATAAGTTTTACCTGGTGAAATGACAAAGTTAAAACAAATATTTTATGAAGATAAATTTTGTCAGAAACAATTCCAATCCACTTAAAGTGATTACACGTTATACACAATAAAAGTATCTACTTTTATTATGTATAACATCGAATTATACTATATAGCCTAATTATAGAAAATTATATTTCGCATTTTTCATTGACATTAAAAATGCGAAATACCATTTTCTATATTTATTGTAATTAAAATATAATATTTAAATTTATTTTACATAAAAATTGCACATAAATAGGCATAGAATTAGCTAGTTTCGAATAATCTTATAAATTAAATAAAAAATAAATTATATGTTACTTTCGTACCAATTTTTTCTTCTATTTCGTATGTCTTCTATAGCCACTGCTTTATACTCTGATTCCTGTTGACGTTGTTTTAATCTAAAAATTTTACAGCGAATTTTAACATCGATAAATATATTCAGGTTATACAGATGTACTGCAGCCTACACAGTTGTGTTCAGCAGCTGTTATTTTGCAGAGAATTTATTATAAACTATAATAAACAATAATTTTATGAACTATTTTATAAAATTGGCGTTATAAAAAAGTTGAAATATTTAAAATAATTTCTTTATTACATATAGTAATTTGAAGATTTTTTATTGCTAAATTATTATATAATTCTGTTCTCACTATAATTAACAAAAGAGTATTAGCAATTTGTGATTTTATGTTTAGTCCTAATTAAAATTATACAATAAATTTAATAGTCTATAACTTAAATTAATTTGTCCACAAAGTGGTGGAGAAAACCGATTCCTGAGATTTTATATGATTGTGAAACAACTGCCGCAGTGGATCTCTACTGCATTGATAGAAGAGATTTGCATTAATAGCTAAGTTGCGGCCGAAGTTTTCATCTGTAAAACGTGAACGTCGAACGTCGAGCACCGCTTACAAGACAGCGGCGCTCGACGTTCACGTTTTAGAGATGAAAACTTTGGCCGCAACCTCTCTAATAACAAAATTTGTCTGGTCTTTTCACAATGTCTGTTTTATTTACTTTTTGCAATGTTTTCTCTTAATAGCTGCACGCTGCACCTAATTTTGAAATTTTTGTCTTATTTTACTAAATTGTTTCTTTGAATTTAAGTTTGTCCTATTTCTTTATGTTATTATTGTGAAGTCTGCCGACTGTGTGCGATTGNTCGAGCACCGCTTACAAGATAGCGGCGCTCGACGTTCGACGTTCACGTTTTAGAGATGAAAACTTTGCCGCAACCTCTCTAATAACAAAATTTGTCTGGTCTTTTCACAATGTCTGTTTTATTTACTTTTTGCAATGTTTTCTCTTAATTAATTAATTTAATAGCTGCACGCTGCTCCTAATTTTGAAATTTTTGTCTTATTTTACTAAATTGTTTCTTTGAATTTAAGTTTGTCCTATTTCTTTATATTATTATTGTAAATTCTGCCGACTGTGTGCGATTGTTGAGATGGTCGAGGGGTCATAACAATCCTGCATGGACGTGGAATTGTGGAATCAGTCTTTGAATACAGCAATTTTATTAACATTCCAATATAATATCACCAATTTATAGAGCAATAACAGTTAAATTTTAAAAATTAATCAAACTTAAATTAGTTTGTGATCCCATTTAACTGATTCTAAAATGTGTGCCTGGTTGGTCTGTAAATGTTATGGTCAACCTAATTTAGGGTAAACAAAAGAGAAAACACAGTCAACTCGGAGACAGAAATTATAATTAATACATTTTTGTAATGTTTATTTCATAAATAATCACGATTTGCTTGTAATCTAATGTTAGTGATATATTATTAAAGTGGCGAATTTGAATTTATTAACATTAATTTATTGAAAATCAATTATTTTTTATTACGTCAATAAAAATATTAATAAAAGAGCGATTCAACTTCTATTCAAATTTTCAGTAACGGTGATTAGAACTGTATATGTTATATTGTCTAATTTATGTGTGTTTTTGTTTCCTTTCATACTTCCCCTCCGCACATACTTCGCCTATCGTTTTGACAATAATGATATGTCTGCAGAATAGAAGTATGATATTTTGACGATAGTCGATGCGACCCTGGGAATCAACGGATTTGATTAGGAAATTCTGGATCACCCGGCTTGCAATACGAATCTGTCATTCGATTATCATCTGTTGGCTCTTTAAAGAAAGAAAAACAGAAAACAGAAGATCAGCCTTAGAAGACAGAAGTCTTGGCAGGTGAGCCACTGTATGAAGAACTCTCTACACTCAGAGAGTTAGTCGACACCAGTCAAAATACTTAGTTTCTGCAAGCATACCATCGTTGGCACAATAATAGGCGAAGTATAGGAGGATAGAGTACTTTAAAAAAAATGTAAATTGGAACTATGTAACAAACATAGCTCCATTGCCATAACTGAAATTTTGCATAGCAGTTGGTTGAACCGCCCTTGCACAGTAAAAATTGCAATTTTTTATAATGTATATTTATAATATAGTGAAATAAACTAAAATAAATTACAATTTACAATAATATGACTTTTATAGTAAAAATATTTGAAATTTAATAATGTTTTCCGAAGCATTATTTATAAGAAAACTTAATTGTACAGCCAAATTAATAATATTAATAAAATGTTTTAATTATATAATTGAATATATTTCCGATGTAACATGTAATTTATGCATTTCAAGATAAATGCGACAATTTATGGAAAGTCCCTGAATAACACGTGAAAAATGCAACAGTACAACGTGTGCACGAACTGTAANAATTTTCAGTAATGGTGATTAGAACTGTGTATGTTAGATTGTCCAATTTACGTGTTTTTTTTTTCTTTCATACTTCCCCTCCTCACACACTTCGCCTATCGTTTTGATAATAATGATATGTCTGCAAAATAAAAGAATGATATTTTGTCGGTGTGACCCTGGGAATCAACGGATTTGATTAGGAAATTCTGGATCATCCGGCTTGCAATACGAATCTGTTATTCGATTATCACCTGTTGGCACCATAAAGAAAGGAAAACAGAAAACAGAAGATCAGCCTTGAAAGACAGAAGCCTTGGTAGCCATGAGCCACTGTATGAAGAACTCTCTACAATCATAGTTCGTCGACACCAGTCAAAATACTTATTTATTTGTTAGTTTCCTTAAGCATGCCATCGTTGGCACAACAATATGCTAAGTGTTAGTACATGGAGGATAGAGTACTTAAAGAAAAAAATGTAAATTGTAACCAGTAGCAAAGCGTAGTGGGGGCGGCAGGGGCGGCCCGCCCCGGGCGGAAAAATTACGTTTTAGGGGGCGGCAAAATTTCACAATAAATAATAATAATATCTTGTAAGAATTTTAACCATTTTATTTCATATTTTCGTGCACATACGATTCGGACCGATTGAAATGACCACGGAATACCATCTGGATGGTCCGGGTATCGACTCACCGTCTGGGGATATCGTGCGCAACGTGTCGACCGTTTTTTTCTTTTTTTTTTTTGCTTGTACGATTTATTCGTATATATATACACCTCCAATATCCAATAGAGCTAGGTCACTTGCGGTACTCCTATCCAAGTTTCCCTAGTCGCTAACTGTAACTTATTTAGAACCGGCATGCACTGCAAATTATTCTTCGCATTGCAAAATGACATACGCATGCATCAGAAACTTCCGTTCGAACAAACCTCACCTGCCGTCCGGGTCAGCGATTTTGAAAAAGTGGCCGAATAAAGAATACAACCGAATAAAGAAATAACCGAATAAAGAAAACCGAATAAAGAAAACAATTAATTAAATAGAAAAGTAACTTAAAATCAATTTTATACGTTTGTTCATAGTTTTATTTGCCAAAGAAAGAGGAATAAGTCGAATAAAATTATAATATAAAAATTTATTTTTATGTAATTAAAGAATTTGAAATTTTAATTTATATATCGTCATGACCAACTACCACTAAACACCGATAGTTAGTCGACGGTTTGCACCTCGCCAACGGATTGAACACGTGGAATTTTTCGGGTTCATGTTTGTAACACCTAAATAAGGACCTGTTTTCGTTTAAAATCATCCAGGGAGGCATTCTCTGCAGATCACTCATGTGTTGCGTTTCTGTAACTAAATAAACCAAATGACTGCGTTTCTTCTTATTTCTTTCAGTACGAAATACAATACAGTACTTTTCGAATGTCATCCGGTGTTAAAAGCTAGAAGTATTTTAGCTTAATTAATTGAAAAAGTCGTATAAAAAATAAAATTAAAATCAAATAGTTGTATATAACAAATTTATTAAAATCTTGCTGATAAATAAGTTCCTTCTCTGATTTTATAAATAAAATAAAAATATTTTGTTTAAACACATCCTAATAGGATAAATGAGGGTGAGATAATGAACCGGGTTAGATGATGGTGTAATTACTGTATAAACTAAAAAGTAAAGCCTCGCAGTGTTCACTGTATTGCTGTAAAAAATAAGTAAAAAACCAAATGTTTCTATTTCTGACTTGCAGAATTCGCAGCTTCCAGAGCTTGTTTCCCATCATCACATCTTCAATTACAAAATACTTTTCTCATTTATCATATAATATACAATAATGTTCCATAATTTTACTATGTATTTAATAGTAAACTGGATGCTCGACGGCTTTTCTTAAGATTCTTTCTTAATTATTTTAAAACATGGTCTTTGTAATTGTTCTTTTGAAAATATATTAAAATTATATTGATGAGAGAAAATATGCAATTATAAACAAATAATTAATTTAAAATTTAAGTTAAGTTTTTTATTATTATTTAATTCAATAACTAGAATAAACGCTTATACAAATTATTAAATAAATAAATTATGATTCTAATAAATCTGAAAATAACAATATATTATCTCACCTCTGGATGAAACATAGCAATGTTTTCAAGTTCGCAAGGATCAGTCTTTATATCAAACAAGCAAGGAGATAAATTGGGATCGCAGTTGCTGACGTTTTTCTTAGAATTTCGAAAACAATTCAATTCTACTTTCCGAAGAATATTGCGCTCAGCATTTTCAAAGTAGCCTTTTCTATTAAGCGTTTCCCAAGAATATGAAGACCGAAGTAAATTTTCATAATAAAACGAAATAAAATTGCTTTCTCTTCCATTTGGACCATACCATCCATTATAATTCCCTTTTAAATTTGAACCATTAATAAGTTTATAATTCCTAAACCGAAGAGCCGAGGCACCATCAATTGGATCAATATTATGAAGAATTTCTTCGCGAGGTGAACGGACACCTGTCGACAGTGTGTCCCACTGATCGATTCCATAAATGCTACCCAGAGTAGTGACATTTCCTCCTAATTCAACAAAATAAAATTCAGATTTCGGATAAATTTTATGATAAGATAGTAATGTAAATTAACATCACCTGCGGCGTGATAAAGAGTTGGCAACCAGTCAGAAATATGTATCAAGTTATTCTCGATCCTCGATTGATATTTTAACAATTCGCTCCAAACAACTCCTACTCCTTTTACTCCTCCTTCCCATAGAGTTTGTTTATTTCCTCTTAATGGCCAATTTGAACCAACTCCGCCTCTTAAACCAGCTGCTTCCCCGCCATTATCCGTGGAAATAATAAAAATAGTATTATCTAGCATTTTCATTTTATCTAATGTTCGAAAAATCTTTCCAATCGACGTATCGAGTTCCGTAACCATTGCTGAAAATAAAAATTACAAATTGCAAAACTTTTATAATTATGAATTATTTAAAATTTTATTTTAATACACAGCATTAAATTAGTATATGTAAATAATTATAAATTGATTTTTGGAAATTAATATTTAGGAAAGTTACACAGTATTTGAGAAACAGAAATATTTGCAAATAATTTAAATAGATCATTTTATTTTTGTTTATAATATTAATATTAATTTCAGTTCTGTGAGCACTAAGAATGCCTTTTTATATCCCTAATGTGTATTGGACTAGGTATAGAATAGAAACAGAATCCTAGATCTAATTCGGACAGATGGTATAATGAGACACAGGGACATATAGTCCAAGAAAAATTCCTTAGATTTTAAGCCTGCCCAAATTAGAACAGTGTTTCACAGAGTGATAGGTTAACGCCTTAACTGATTCGGATATCCGGACGTCAACTTCAAAAAAATCCAGCGAGTAAAATCATCATTAAGTCCGACCATACTCGAGATATGACACACCACTCCTCTATCTCTCCACTCCCTTCACCTTTAATAACCAAAATTTAATAGCATCAATCCCCTTAATACACAAATCTCTCTGAATAAGTGCAAAAATAAGTTGTATCTCAAAACATTTAATAGAATATTAATATTATATTGAGATTATTTTTTAGAACGTTACAAGTTCTCCCTTCTGCATATTTAAATAAACAAAATAAAATTTAAATAAAATGTTTTAAAGACTGGTTTTGCGAGTGGATAGATGTGTTTTATACACAAGCCTACATAAGCTGGCACTACTCAGTACAAGTCCTAACTTATGTGCACTTTTGCAGGTCGAGCCAACCCAGTAATTTAAATTTGGAGAATAATTCATCTATATATATAATCGAGACGAGTTGATAATAATAATAAGCACGGAGCCCAAACGGTTAGGAGTTGAAAGTTGAAATTTGGTACACAGATAGGGTACGTCACGAAAACGCACACTAAGAAGGGATTTTTCGAAATTCCCCCCCGGGGGAGAAAGACAGGATTAAGTCTTAACACTTCCATCAACAATGGAAGTGTTAAGTAACAATGGCGGTGTTAGGTAACAATGGCGGTGTTAGGTAACAATGGAAGTGCTAAGTAACAATGGAAGTGTTAAGAGAAAGCGACATGCAATACGCAGATGCAGTTTTTTTCGTTTTTGCGGGAAATCGAACATATTTTTAGATCCATCTAAAAGTTCTCTAATTAGTCTGGAAACAAGGGGACCCAATTCTTGCATTCTGTGAAAACGGGTAAGGTTGACTGTAACGTAATAATCTTTATCTTAGTTATCGTTACTTTTGCCCGAGCAACGCCGGGCCTACCTGCTAGTTTCTTTATAATTTAGAACCATTTGTGCGGTAGCATACTTCAGCAACATTGTCCTGCCGTTTGTTTTATTGAATGACTTGGCTATTTTCAATGCATACAAGGCTTACACCTTGAAGAAAATCTGTAATGAATCTATAGGAAGAAGTGCAACTAGGATGAACACATTTTCAACATGACTTGTTCTTTAATGACGAGTATTTGTTTTGTTAGTACTGTATATGACAATGCGATACATGGGCGATCTGCCGAGGGGGATGCCTCCCGAGAGGACTTTCTACGGGAAACCAGTCCCTGTTTAGGTATTACAGGTGTAAAACAAACCTGGAAAATTTTGAAAGTAATTTTTTAGAGTACTACACTGTTTTAGTAGCAATTTAAAACTGCACTAACTGTTGTCACTGAAGCACCGTAGAAATATGGTTTTGGTGTTAGACCATAATATTTCTTAAGTTATATTTTCTCTGTTTATTTCTTTGCCTTGAAATTTTCTTTTATCATATTTTCTCACATAAATTAATTTCGAAATTTTTAATTCTAACCACAAAACAAATATTTAAATATCAAACCTGCAAAGATTCTTCTTTCGGGATGCCTTATATGTGGAAACTTCAAAACTTCATTAAATGGTGCTTGAAAAAGTGCATATCTGTTTGCAATGTGAACAGCAGAAGGAGATACATATAAAAATAGTGGCTAAAATTAAACAAATATGTTACGTTTTATTTATTACGTGGAAATTCATAAATTAAAGCCACAATTCAAATTAAATATTTTAGTACAAAAATTATAACCTGTGATTTGTTATGTCTTTTGATAATATCGATCGCTCGATCTGTAAAGATATGAGTTGCATATTTTCCTCTCAATTCACTCACTATTCTCATATCATCTCTTAGAGCATCTCCCCATGCATACTAAAATACAAAATATAAAATTATCTAAGCTTGTACAAATAAAATTACTTTTCATTCTTACCTTTAACGTAGAATTTGTATAAGTTTCAAGAGTAGTATGATCATAGTAGTCCATGTGTGCTTCCCAAAAACCGAAGAAAGAATCAAATCCCCGATTAAACGGTAAATATTCTTTTTTAAAAAATCCTAAATGCCACTGTAATATTTATCCATAATTTAAATACATATATACATATATATTTGTATTATGTGACATAATACAAGTAGTAACAATATCCCCAAAAACATACTTGTAAGCCTTAACTTTCTATAGAGAAATAAATATGAATGTAAAACGTAGACATAGAATGAAGGTATCATATTTATTGTACTAAGATGTGTTTCATGTACAGTACATCTAAGATAAAACGGCAATAATTTAAAAACGATTGATTTACGTTATGCTTGAACGGCAGTTTCTGTACCTTTAAGACTTATCAGTAAAGTTTTGGAGATTTTATATTCTCTTTTTGTTTTAATTTTTGATTTCATTTTGAAACATTCTATATATAATTATTGATTTATCCGTATATGTCACGATATATATATAATTAGATAAAAATTTAAACAAACCTTTCCAATGCCGTGAGTAGAATAACCAAGTTCTTTCAAATATTGAGGAAGAATTTTTACGTTTAATGGTAATCCTGCAGGTTGAGCACCTTTTAATATAAAATTCTGGAGACCTATAATAATTTATATTGATAACTGTTTTGTAAACAAATAGAATCTTCATATACGTTACTATTAGGTACAATTGTCATCCTTAAATCTATGTAAACTCACCTAAATGTATTGGATGTTTACCACTTAGTAAAGCAGCTCTGGAGGGAGTACAAAGAGGTTGTACATAGTAATTATTTAAGATGATACCATTTGCCGCTAGTATATCGATATTTGGAGTGGGAATTTGTAAGGAACCATGAAAACTTACATCATTCCATCCCTAACAAAATTAATGGAAATAATATTATTTATGTAGCTTAGCTTTATACATACAGTATATATATATACTGTGTGTATAAAGCCCAGGGATTTGATAAATCGTTCAAAAATTTTTGTTAAGAATAATCAATATTGGGAACAAGTGAACGAACCCTGTGAAGTGATAACTGTTTTGTAAACAAATAGAATCTTACAAGCAAAATAAGCGGGATTGAGCTGTCTACTGTGGCCAGGGAAAAATAGAAACGGTAATACCGGTGAATCGTAACTATATTTTTCAATAAATTAGCAATGTTATCCACGTTTTTCTGTGGGAAGTTCATAAATTTGTGTGATGTTGGACTGATTCAAAACAAGATATGTTTTTTGTTTTGTTTGTTTGTTTGTTCTGGAATCTGAAAGTTGTTTTATTTTCGATTTTGATAAAGAAAATCGAAAAGAAATTTTCCTTTTTATATATTTCAATAAAACTCTGTTTTTTTAATTAATTTGAATATGGAGGTGAGTTTCGAAACAGAATTTACAGTTAGTGTACTGTACTGTACGTTCTGAAGTGCTTATTGTTATGCAAAAGTATTAGTAAAGTTTGATTCCAGTGAGGATCAAATTTTACTAATGCTTTTGCATAAAAATAAAGAAAAGAAACGAAATCATAGTTCGGATGATGACAAAAGTATTATTTATTATTATTGAAATTTTTGCTACTCTAGGCCTCTAGGAAACAAGTGAGTGAGATTTGTGGCGGCAGAGAGTAAAGCCAGCAGGTGATTGGCCTCCTACTTCAGCCAGGTGGGAGAAACACCTAGTATTTGAATATTTTTGTATTTTTACTGAGCAGAGCGGTTTACTACAAAATTTTAAGTTTAAAATATCATTATCATAAAAAACGGATTTGACAAATTTGTACAGAAAAGTGGTTAATTTGTACAGAATGTAGTTATAATTTTGTTTAAAATAGTGTAGTGCTCTACTTTCATTAAAACTTCACTAAGTTACTACATTAAGCATCCGGATTGCCGAACGGTTAAGGTGACAGCCTGGAAAACCCGGGATCGAATCCGGAAGGGTCGAGAAATCTCAAAGTGATCCGTTCAAATATGTCGGGCTCTATCCCTTACCATCTGGCCACCTAATGGTGGGCTTGGCTAAGCAAATAATAAGCTTTCTAAAAATGTTTTCTTAGTACCGTGGGGCAAGAGTTAGAAAAGTGTATACATAGCCAGTGTTCAGCAACTTTTTTCTACTTGCGGCACACCCATGAGTTAACACGGCACACCAAAATGTTATTCCCCTCAAAAACGTATGATATGATACTATTAATAGAATTACGTAATTCCACTAACCTATTGTTATTAAAAGACATCAACACCTGTAAGCAAATTTATTTTACATATAATTTTTTAGAATACATAAAAATGCGTGACTTGTAATAAAGAATAAACAATCATCATCGTATTTCATCAGTGCTGCGAAGAGAATGAAACACAAGCTTAAGAACACAACAACTGTGATAAAAATATATAAATAAAACTTAAAATTAACAGAATATGTAAAAGTTTACGTCACACCTTTCACCATGTGGCGGAACACTGTATTAAGCATTATAATATTCAGGTAATAATAGAGCAAAATTACATGAGAAGTTGAACTCGACTTTACTCGTTTGTTTAAAGACTTTAATAAAACAATATAAAAGCTTGACTTCTCTTTGCTTTATAGTGTATCGTTAAATCGTCTGATTTTATCCTCTAAATTTTTTATCTTTTCAGTTTATCATGGACTTAAGATACAAATAATCATAAAATTATTTATATAAGAATATACTTAAAATAATTATTTCACATATATTAATTTTAAAATTATTAATTTAATTTGAAATGTGAAACTTACCAAATCATCAGCCAAAATAAAAACAATATGTGGTTTTTTCCCATGAATTAAAACAAATATATTAAACAAAACTACGGATAAAATTAGCTTCATTTCTATATGATTTCTGATCAATAAAGAAAAATATATTTAATAAAACATTGATAGGTCATTTATAATCGTTCAAATCTTATCATCTCACTGTCCGGATAAATAGATTTTGTAATGAATACATTATCTAAACAGTACATTTTCCACAAACTATTTTGATTATTACTTATCTATTTTAAAAATGATAATATTGAAAGGTAACTTATTATTATTTTTTATATAATTTTAAGTAATCAACAAAAGATTTTATTGATTTAAACTTAATATTGAAATATTTATAATAAATAATGTCAACAACCGAATGGACGAGTGGTTCAAGACGTCAGTCTACCGTTCTAAGGGACTTGCTACCTAGTCTATGCCCGTCACTACTAGTTATTCTATTGTGGGTTTAATCCAGGGGTAACCAATGACACGAGTACCCAAAGTACCACGTAAGGAAAAATCATCTGGCTCATAACGTATCATACGATTTCGATTTATCATCTGTCTTTTTCAATCATCCTTTCAATTATTTATCAACCGTTCATCCTTTTTCAATCAGTTTTTTTACATTTATTCTAATTAAAGCATATTCGTTTAATTTATTTAAATATCGTTATTTGAAGTCTAAATGATTTGGCACGTATAAATATCTTTAAAGCTAAGTGTGCTTACTATATGGCACGCGGGCTTAAAAAGATTCGCCACTCCTAGTTTAGTCGAATCCTTTATGGGTATAATTAGTAGGGCTTTCTTCGTGCAACATAGGACTGAGAGTCAAAAATGAAATAATAGTAGTATCACAAAATATTTATATTTTACACTACGTTTATGGATTAATAATGCTTAAATTATTTAATGAAAATTTAAACTACATATTTAGTTTTAATACCAAATTGCTTATATTGTGAATGTAGGTTAAATTTGTGTTTTGGTTTTTTTTTCTAATATTAAATATACATAGATAAATATGGTTTAGACTTTCGATATGATATTTCATATAATATCAAGGTTATAAATAAAAGTGTTTAAAACAAATGTGTTTGCCAATATATCCGGTTATGATCTTAATGACCTAGTTCTAATATTCTAATTTTCAGTAACCCAGAAGGATTTCGTTTACAATCAATCATAGTTGATTAAAAGTATTTTTAAACATACGATTTTAAAGTTTAAATGAATTCAGTGTGAAAGTAAAAATCAGGCTATATTTATTAAATAAATAAATATAGCCTGATTTTTACTTTCACACCGAAAAAATTTTTCTGGTTTGGTAAATGTTCCATTCGTCCTCTTAAAAGTCATGATTTTGTTAAACTAAAAACTGTATAATAAGGAACGAATTTGATATATAATAATCTCCGTTAGAATAATATTTCATAAAATAAATGATCAATTAAATAGATGTTTTGAAAGTATTTTATATTACATATAAAAGTTGACAAGTTTTATAATACAGACATTAGTCAATCAAGCCAGAAAAAATAAAATAAAATACAGAATATATATTAAAGTTTCTAAAATAAAGCATAGTAATTCTATTTGTCAGACCCAGATAGAAAGCCAACAGCTTAGGATACACAAGAACCCAAAATATAGAATTTTTTTTTATGTAAAAGACAAATTATAAATGAAAGTTTCTTTTGATTTCTTATTTTCTTTTTTGATGTTTATTTTTATGGCTTCGGTTTAAAGCTTCATTTCATTCCGCTTGGCTCCTGGTATTTTCAGTTTAAATATGTTTAGCTAAAACTAAATTTAAAATAATCTAATTAAATTCAGTTTTTATTTAATATGAAACTTTTATTTTTCAAAACAAACAAAATTGCAAAATTAAATATTAGTGCACAAAGAGAATTACAGTATTTATGAATTTAATTATAATGTTCATCAAAATTCAAATTATTTAAATAAATTGATTTCAATTTTCCTTATTATTTCAACTGAACTAAAGTTACTGCTACATACTACTTAAATTTAAATATATAAATATTGTATGCTTTAAATTTTACTACTATAAAAAGATTTATAGCATTTTAAGTTATATTTTGATACAAAACAAATAAAAGTTAAGAATAAAGTGTAAATTTTTATATAATGATGGGAATATGGCCATGCTAAGTTATGTAGAGTACAGTATTCCTGGTTTTCATGGCCATTTTATAAACATTTTAAAAAAGTTCTTTTAATTGAAAAAATTAATAATTCTCTATTAATGAGCATTAATAGAGAATTAATACAGACAAATAATCTTTATTAGCATCCGACACCGCTAGGCACAATTGAAAACGTGTACATAAGGTACATTTCAGATACATAAACACAAAAGAATATAAAAATAAAATTAAGAATAAAGATAACGTAAGTAAGAAGACAAAAAATTGCGTATTTACAAAGTGAGGAGGATGCTGGCTAGCATCGAACAGTAATTATAATACACGTTACGTAATGGGCGGCAGTACAAACATAAAACGTCTAAATAATAGTTGTTCACACTAAGTAGCGTTCAATTATCTCTTCAAGAAGATGAAATTTCTTTCTTTCAGAAACTAAAAGTTACGGTTGCAAGGCCAATCGGTCCCGCTTTCAAGAGTCAGATGATGAAGGGGATGCCGAGCGTCCTCAAGCATGGGACAGTCCATAAGATAATGGTACGCTCCATCACGTGTACTACAGATAGGACAACAATCTGAGTCACTATGATGGAACCTGTGCAGATATGCATTAAAACGTCCATGCTCAGTAAGGAACTGTTTAAGGCGATGATGCGGGTGAATCCACTTCCACTTAAGTCGACAGTCAATATTAGGAAAGAGTTGTGATATGGCTCTCTGGCAGGGAGTTCCGGTCACTTTGCCAGCACTCAATCACGCCGTTCCAAAGCCGTTGTCTGATGTTGGAAAAGGGCAGCTGATAATAGGCAAAAACGCCTTTCATAATGTTCCATGGCAGTGCGGACAAGGAAATCTGCCCGGAGTGCCCTGATGACCCTGATCCATTTAATGTGGTAGGTATTAGAGGACAGGAAGACAGCAGAAAGGATGTTCCTTGCAATTAGATGGTAGGTGTCCTTATTCTGAAGGGTTTGCACAGTAGCAGCACTATCTGTACTGATGTTAATGCGTTTTCTTTTATACTCATTATTGCAATACTGTACAGCCATAAGGACAGCAAATATCTCAGCCTAAAACACCGAGCACTCCAGGTAAAGCCTGAAGGTATCATGATGTGTTTCCATGCCAGAAGAGATAATGACAAATGCACCTGCCGTACCCTGTGATGTTTTCCAGCCTTCTGTGAATGCCTCAATAGCAGAGCCCGTTGACCAGGCTACTCTTTTAATTACCGGATGGGGAAGATCATTGAAATGTACGTACATCAAGTTCGATGTTGGAAGCACTTCTTTCTCTTGAAGCAAGGAACCTGCCCATAGTGTAGTGGATCTGTTGCAAGATTGGTGGTTTTCCAGCAATAACCGGGAGAGTAGCATTCTAGACCGTACTGTAATTACGAGTCAGGAGAATCAGTGCATGTCGTTGGGCAGTCCTCAATCTCCAGTGGTTATGGACGGGCTTGTAGCCTAATCCCATACAACTGAGCTGTAACATAAGATTGGGACAAACACACAGTCATAAATGGAGTTAAACGCCTCGTAGCTTAAACCCCATCTATTACGGGCAACACATAGAAGGCTGCTAAGAATGAGACTAGTCCTATTGATAACGTATTGAATATGAGGCTTCCATGATAGTTTGTGGTCAAGGACTACACTATGCACAGCATTAACGAGCATTTCAGGTGCTATTTCTGAAACATGCTTGCGGACAGAATTCTTCAACGCACCCAATGAAGCTGGCTGAACTCAATACTTGACTTTAAGTAGCCCCATAATCAAAAGTCGTAAAGTATAAAGTCCGGAGATCTTGCAGGCCAATTATACGGAAAGGAGCAACTTAGGATACGGTTCATTCCAAATGTTTACCTTAGGAGTTGCATGACAGGCGAAGCAATAGGAAAAGATGCTCGTCTGACGACAGTGCTCACGAATGATGGGCACCACATTGAAAATTTGTAATAATGTCTTTGATGTTATACAAACTAAGCAATCAACTCAGGAGCAATTGATGGCAGGAAATGTAAGAGCTAATCTCAATACATGAATACAAATTTTCTCATTACAAACAAAACTCCCACTTCATTTGTGCATTCCTGTAAAAAATCTGCACCACGCTGCTGTAAATACTTAGCAAATTATTGATACTATAATATGGTTGCTGTCTATTGGTTTTTGTATATGAAACGTCTCTTTAATCCAAAAGTTGTTCGGTAGACCGCCTTACAGCATTGCGGTTAGAAACATCTTTATTTTACGAAATTGGATTACAAATACATTTCGAGTTGATTTATATTTTACAACCCCTCTTCAGTGCTATATGGAAAAACAATGATATAAGTGTAACACAATATTATCTAGATATCGCGAAAAGAGAAATTTTTGCATGATATGACCGTTTACATACCATAAAACGTGATGAAATACTTTTCGCAATTTTATCATACACAACATTTCAGTATTCTATAAAAGTAAATTATGATAATTTAACATTTTAATTTATATAAAACATAAAAAAAACATAATTTTATTTTAAAAAATTTTAAAATTTTTCTAAAACACTTACAATTTTATTTCTATACACTCAAAGTGGGAGAAAACCCATATAAAGGTATAGCAAATGACTGTAAATATAAAAAAGATATAAAATTAAATAACTCATTTTCAATATATTAAACAACAGTTAAAAATCATTAATTATTCCAGTTATAGTGTTAGAAATGCTAACGATGTAATCAACAATATACAGAAATTAAAAAAGGGAAAAAACAGATAAATTAATAAGCCTTGATGTTAAAAACATATACTCAAATATAAAATGGAAACTAATAGATGCTAGCCTAATTCAACTAAACGTAGATAAATCATTAATAAATTTTGCTTATACAAGAAATTATTTTGAAGTTTATGATGAATTCTATAGGCAGATAGACGGTATTAGTATGGGGTCAAAGATGGGGCCAAAATTAGTGGAATTAGTCTTAAAAAACATTGACGATAAAATAAATAATATCCCAGGAATATAAAAAACAATATAATAGCAATATAAATAATCTTAGAAAAACAGGTGCAGTTTATAAGATAGAATGTACGTACTTGTCAATATCGAAAAGTTTACATAGGGTAAACTGGCCGGAAATTAGAACAAAGGATAAAAGAACACGAAGCAGCCATTTGACTTGAGTGCAATAGTTCCTCATACAAAGAATAATAAATGTCAAATTAATAGAAACAATATAAGAAATCTACACTCAGAAAAGATACATATAAAATAAAATTTAAGGAGCATATTGAAATAATAAAACACTCTAAGAAAAATTTAATTAATATTTCTGATGTTATGCAAATAGACCATCAATGGTATAATTTAATAGACAGCGCCACAACACAGGATGTATTATAATAAAACTATAATCTAAGATTCGTTATGAACCCCGAGAAAAGAAAAGAAAAGAAGATTCGTTGTACAGTAATGTATTAAAAATACTGGATAAAACTTATTGTTGGTATGTATTTATATGTCGTTAATGTAAAAAAGATTAAATTGTTAAATAGCTTAATTTCTAAATCATAATTGTTTGTCACAGTATAGTAACATTCATAAAGTTTTACTAAAGTATACTGGTATAAGCCCACTTTGAGTGTATGGAAATAAAATTGTAAGTGTTTTAGAAAAATTTTAAAATTTTTTAAAATTAAATTGTTTTTTTATGTTTTATATAAATTAAAATGTTAAATTATCATAATTTACTTTTATAGAATACTGAAATGTCGTGTATGATAAAATTATTGCGAAAGATATTTTATCACGTTTTATGGTATGTAAACAGTTATGCCATGTAAAAATTCCTTTTTTTTGCGATATCTAGATAATATTGTGTTCCACTTATATCATTGTTTTTCCATATAGCACTGGAGAGGGGGTTGTAAGCCTAAATATAAATCAACCTGAAATGCATTTGTAATCCAATTTCGTAAAATAAAGATGTTTCTAACCGCAATGCTGTGAGGCAGTCTACGGAACAAGTTTTGGATTAAAGAGACGTTTTATATACAAATTATTGATATTTCAAATTTTCTGTTACTTTTGGATCACCCTGTATGTTCTTTGATAATAACTGAAATGTCTGATTATTTTATTTCTTTATTTGAAACCATAAAAATACTCATTAATATTTCTATGTTTATTTGATAAAAATAATAATAAAACATAATATGCTGTAAGATATGAAGTAAAACGGATCTAATTAAAATTCAAATTGACCGAACCTTTTATATATTAGTATATGGTAAACATGAAAAGGATTTAAAAATCTTATTTGTTTCAAAATTGATAGGCCTGAACTTAAATCTTGAAATGATAATTCGGATTCATCTCATTTTCCCAGCCTGTCTCGTCTCGTAAATATAGTTTTAAAACACTTCAGCAGATGGAGTTACTGTGTTAACTCGTTAACAGAACATGACTTGTAAAATTGCAAGTACTGTAGTTTAAAATTTATTGAAATTATTCTAAAAAAGATATTTGCTTATATAAAATGTAAAAGCAGGTATCATACTATATATATTAATACATGTAACATGACGTAGTTTTTATTTAATAAATTATCGTACATGCAGCAATATACCTAAAAATCTAGAGTTTTTGTAATGTAAAATAAAATTTTTTATAGGAACAAAATATACCCTGTGTACAGCGTACTGTATGCACTACGGTTTTCAATTGCGTTAAATACTGTATTTTGAATTTCTATAAAAACGATACGTTCAAAAACTTAAATTTCGTTAATCTTTATGAATTGTCAAGCTGTTAACACCACACACACATTCGAAATCTATTCTATTTTAAACTTAGCATTAATGATTAAGCATTAGTAATAACAATAAATGAATTATAAATCTTCTTATCACGTAGATTCTATTAAATTCAAAGTCCTAATTAGATCATTAGGCTAAAGTTTTTTTACGTGAAATAAAGTATTAATTAATGATCTAATTAGGATTCGATATTTAGTAGAACCTATAGTGATCCATCATCCATGTATTATTCTTATTACGCTGGTGCCTAGTGCTATGTGAGGCACGTCATTCCAAACTGTCTTACCCTCTTTTTAAAATTTTTGTATTATTCTATTATTTTTGTATTTGACTCGTGATGTAAAGATCTATCATAATAAAATGTTTTAATCGTTTAAAAACAGGCTTATAGCATAAAAATTTAATGTGGAAATTGAATGACATTTTAAACTGCGTTTAGGAATAAATGAATGTGTGAATTCATTTATTTCAAAATACTTATCATCTTAACCAATAGAAAACATTGATATAAATTACGCAATATAAAATGTTAAATTCTTGTTTTGAGTAGATGCGATTTTAGTGTTTAAATTTAAAATGACATTTTGATTAATTGTTTTAAGTTTTTAACATAAAACTTGTAATGAAAAAATAAAACGGCAAAGGAAACAGAAACAAATCTCTGACTTGACACCAGAAATGCCAAAAGAGATTTCATCTTCGCAAAAATTCATGAAATCAAACGTCTGTGGAATCTCATTTTGTGGAAGGTTGGAAATATTGGATTTCTTGGGTCTGTACCGAGATTTGTTGTCACTCGAAGTTGTGTATGTAGAAGAAAAAGATGTAGAATCGTAGTTGTCTGCAGATGGAGAAGACAGAGTACTTGCCTCTCTTGGAATCGAGTAAAAACTTCCACAAATTATAATCGTAAAACTGATAGAGATATATAACCTCACATGATTTGTATGTCTTTTTATATTGCTGCAATACTGTATTCTACTGTATTCTATAATCTAATTGTGAAAACTTCCAAAAATTCATTGTTGTTAATTACAGTTATTGTTGTAATTGAGGAAAACAATTTTCATTTAGGGGAAGGTGGGGCAGGATGAGGACATTAAGGTTTGAAAAGTCATTAGATGGCAACCACTTTAATGAGAACAATAATTTTTTTTATTCTCGGCAACTACAACATTTGGTAATATATAATAAAAAATTTAATTTTTGAAAAACGTTTTTAAAAACAAGAAAATTTAATATTTTAAAATTATCTGTAAATGCGCCATCTTGCCCCACCGGTGTGGTAAGATGGGAATATTATTTTTATATACAAGAAAAACAAATTAAAATGGTTAAACTGTTGTTTTCTTCAATATTGGCACAAGAACAGTGTGCCCATTTATCACAGCGGTTATATATATTATTATTTTCCGAATAAATAAATATAAAAGTTTGAACATACTCGTATTTACTGTACCAGACGATACTTTCACTTCGCGCATGCTCAGTTTCACTATTTTGTAAGCAGACGATATTTTTTTTCGTGGAAAAAAATTTTTATTTCGATTGTTATCTCACATTTTATTTCTTGTTAAGATAGTATTTAAATTTAAAAAATGTTTTCACAAATAAAATAAAACGTAAAAACATAAATAATAAATTAATACAGTATATATTGTATAAATTTATTACAGTTAGATATGACTTAAAAGTGGAATATTTCATTTTCTATAAAAAGATCATTTTTAAACTTATTATTTTATATATTCGAAAAAATGATATAAAATTAACAATGACAACGAATTAAAAACTAGTTCACTGCACTATATTGCAGTGAACTAGTATATATCCAGCAGCAGAATTCATGGCCAACCTTGAGCAAGATGGGGTACCCCAATCTTGCCCAAGGTTGGCCCTACGTGTCCCAACGTGCACTTTTTACACTGAATGCAAACACGGATCAACTTTATTTCAAAACTAAACAATTTCAGTCTTAAAGGTTACTTCGAATACCATAATATCTTCATCTAAAAGGTAACGTAAAAGTTCGCAACGATGCTTACTTTGTAGAAACTTTGTAGCGGGCGTAAAATTAGATGAAGTATTGCGGAAACGTGAAAAACTATGTTACTTCCAAACAAAGAGAGCGATTCGGACGTTCTCTCGTCCCGTGATCCTTTTTTTAGGTTGACATTTAGTTCCCCAAATAACAGCTAGATGAAAGCGCGTTAACCACGAATAAACAGAAGTCCCATCTTACCCCGTGGCCCATTTTGCACCATCTTTCACTATAATAGATTTCAACTCATTATGGAGAAGAATGTTTCTATAGGCTGATGCAAACTGGCGTGTAGTGAGATTGTTGTTACAGCCAAAATATACCTGTTTACATGTAAATGAAAACTTTGTTTTTGCTCACCCTCCCAAGTTTAGTTCTTTCAACTTACCTAAACAAAGCATTTTCTTCTAATAACAATTTTCGACATAACGCTTGCAAACTGTGACATGCAACAATAAAATCTACAAAGCCCGTCTCCTTTTTGATATCTATATACTCGTAATTCTAGATTCTTAAAGGTTCATCAAACACTTTTCAGTTTCATTCAATAATGTTTTTACGGCGTCATAATTCCATTAAGGAACAGCTGCTTTCCAACCTTTACTTACTGTATTCTTCAAACTATGTCGAACGGCCTGCAAATATATTTGATGAGTTGTTTCATAAATAAAATAAATTATTAGCAATCATAATTAACATATTTTGACTAATGAAAGATGACACGAAGAAAATGTTTAGTTGCTTCGATCCCTCAAACCAGGAATTTTTCCTCAAGACATATTTTAATTCAATCTGTTACACAGTCAGGAACAGTTGAGCAGCCAGTCGAATATTCTTTTTATCTTGCTACTGCATATGAATATTTCTGAGCTTGTAGGACAAATTAATTTTTAACATTATTGAATACAATGTAGTTCCAACACAAACTTCCAATCAACACAATCTTCGACAATAAATATTGATTTGTGGGGCCAAAAACATTTCTAACCAGTTTTAAAATATGGCACGAATCCATAAACACAAAGATGGGTTCTGTGGTCACGAGGTGAGAGAAACGTGTCTTCAGTTCTTCTGTTGTATCCAATTCACAATTTTGATCGACACAATTCAGCTGTAGCCAAATAGCATAGCCATAATAACATTTGCAAGCGGGCCATCAAATATCATGGCAACAACTTTCTCTCCAGTACCACGAATGACTGTAAGGCACTGCTTCTCTAAACTTATTTTTTCTCCTCCTGATAGCCAATTTATAAAAAAATAACCCACAGGAAGAATTTTCCAGTTGTTACTAAGTGCTACTGCCATAAATACCAGGACCTGGGAAGTAACTCGATTATTCTCTTCTTCTCGTTGCCAAAGTCAATACATGTCTTTGGATTCAAATTCTATATGCTTTCGAACAGCCATTTCATCCATCAGTAAGTACAAATCAGTAAGTTTCTTTCCTTTCCTCTGTTGTTTGCACTTTCTTTGAGAAATCTTAGACTTTCTGATAACCTGGAGAATCATCTACAGCTTGGTTCTTAACGATAGCAACGTTCTTGTGTCTGAAAAACGAGACTGAAACATTTGGCTAACGTAGTTATAAGCGTGTAGTGAATGAAAATGCAAAGTCATTGCAAATTCTTGGAATTCAGATGCATATTTTAAAGACAAGGTTTCATCACACATTTTAGATAACTGTCTCCAAGCGCTCCAGACAAGGCAATCTGAAGTTCATTGATGCGGCTTTCACTTAATACCTTCTCATTCAACAAATTAGCTGTAATGTTTATCAGGTAATGCATTCCGCTTTTAAAGTTGTCGTCAAGCTTGAAGCAAAACTTATAAGACTTTTAAGATTTATAGATTTAAAAATGATATAAAGAAAGTAAGAAGTTCAGATCACATGTAAAAGCGGACAAATCAAAACAATCAGTCATAATGATTATAAATCAATATAATACAATTATTAGAAATATTAGAAGTGAGAATAATTTCAAAAAGTTGAAGTAAAACCCAAAGAAGATATCAGTATATTTCTTCAATTTTTGCTGTAACTTGATAAGAAAACAACAATTAATAACAAAAAATGAAGGAAAATATATTAGTACTTTAGGTTGTAAAATACCAACTATAAAAATAAAAGTGGCTACGTAAAGACCCTATTAGACCATTGGTGGACTTGCGTGAATTTATATTATACAGTTTGGAATGTTTTGTAAAGAAAAATTAAATGAATTAACTATATCTGATAATAACACAAAAATACAGAAATGTTGCTAAGTAAATTAAAAAGAATAGATATTAATCCCCAATACAAGCTAGCGTCACTAGATATTAAAAACATGATCCCTCAATATATTTGAATACAATTATAAATATTAAAAAATGCATAGGAAAGACTAAAATGTCTTCATTTTCGCCAGGAACAATAATCTTTTATTGCAGAAACAACCTTTTACTAGAGTTACGCGTCTGCAAAAATATGCAAAACAGTTTCAAAAGCGAAACGTGCTTTTTAAACTGTTTACATGGCATAAATGAAGGCATTTTAGTCTTTCCTACGTATTTTTAATGTGTAAATTCATCAGCCATTTTTTAAAAAGAATTATAAATACGTTAGAAATAGGCATAGGCTATAAACTGCCCAAATTTGCTTGTTAAACTTGTTGCTTTCGTTATACAAAATAACCACTTTGTAAGTGATGGAAAATGGTACACTCAAATACGTTGCCTTCCTATGGGATCCAGGATAGATGACGAATTTCTATTAGAGTATTATATTTAGTTAATATATTTAATTATTTTACTGAAATTCGGAGTAGGCCTATATTCATTTCTCTTACTTCTTTACGAATCAAGAAAGAAGTAAGAGAATTAATATATTTATTTTTAAATCAGAGTCGAATCACAATACTTTAACATATTTTTTATCTAAATATTATTTTAAGTGTAAAGATGTAAATACTGTACTTTTATTTTTGAACTATTTAAATTTTGCTTGAGATAAAAATATTTAACAAAATCTTTAGTTTTATTATCAGTTATAACTTCAGTCCTGAGGCATCAAAATTTCAATTTCTTTTGATAAATTGAAAACAGTTACTATAATAAAAATAAATGTTTATTTGATTTACACAAATATAGAAAATCGTATAGAGTTTATTCGATATTACCAGAATATCTAGAAAAATTAAAAATAAAACCGAATGCAAAACATTATTTTAGCAATTTATAAAACTAATGAATTAATACCAAAATAATATAACTTACTAATTTCTTGTTAAAAATAATGAGTTAAAAAACAATAAAATAAAATAAACATTAATAAAAAAATAGTATTTAGTAATAAAATTATTAAGTATTATTTTATATTCATTATTTCATAAAATTGTATTAATACTAAAATACTACTAGAATAGGCCAGTGATTCTTGAACAGTTCGCCCAGGTGCAGTGACGAGCCTCAAGAGATGGCTGAGTGAACCACGAATATCACGAAAGTATATTTTAAAAAGAAAAATAATCCGATTTATTCAAGGATTTATTACAACCGTGATATACTAATAACTAGGTTAGGCCTATAGAGTAGCATTTATCATAGTACACAGCTATTTAAAATTTGAAATATACTATATTTGAAAGACGAAATGCGCCAGAAAAATCTTTCATGTTTTATAGTGAGCCGCTAGTCAAAAAAGTTTCAGAACAACTGTAGTAGAATTTCGATTAACTGTAATTAATGAGAAAAAATGGCACTCTGGTTAATTAGATACAATATGAATCCTGTATCCGGTATGTTGATAGGGTAAATTTCAAAGGAACTAGAAAAGAAAAATGCATACGACTATATGCTCGTAGTAGCTCGTAATAAATTGGACATTTCAGCAAACCAGCAAACTGTATCATTTTTTTTTTTTTTTTGTCTTTATGTCCGAAGCTTGAAAGATAAATGAGTCATAAAGCGATTTATGATGACTTAATGACTCATTTATAGATATTTTTCTGCATCTCGGCTAATCCGCTTCCCTGTTAAATGCGATTTCCGATAATCGAGCGAATACTATAATTATAATTTTAAAATTTGTTTTATTAATACTAATAATTTTATTTTTATTTTTATTACATTTAAATTATATCTTTATTACATCATAATTCAATAAATTAGTTATTGGAAAATATCAAAATTATGTTGAAAATTTTAGTAATAGCATACGATGGTCATTGATATGTCTACAAATTCGTGTAAATAAAATGTAATTGTCTAATTTTAATAAAAAAAAAATTAGAATAAAAATATATTAGGATTAATTTTATTCGAATCAATTTTATTTGATTCCATTTATTTTAAGGACAAATTGATTTTTAACATTTGATTAAATTTTAATACAATATTAATATTATGATTGTTTAAATAACTTGAAAACCTTTCAACCTTCTTTCTTATTGCGTATCAGGTAGCATATTAAATATCTACTTTATCTAATAAGTATGCATTTTTAAGATTCTTAATTCTTTCTCAACAAAGGAATTTTCTTTTTTATTTTAATTTTAGAAAGTTCATAATAATAAAATTAGAATATATGAATTTTTTATTATAAGACATGTAACATATTAAAAGTAATTTTGATAACACTTAAAGATTAAAATATTCTCCATACTTTAATTATTTAACAAAATTAAATCAATCATATTTTCTCCTTTCTATATTCTTCTGAAAAAGATATAGAAAGTTATAGATATAAAATGTTCTTTTATTATTTATATCTCATTTTCAGTCTTCATATTAATATTATTTAATGTATAAACTTTCAAATATATAAATTCTCATATACATAACAAGAGTGTTTTTAAAAAAAATGCCTGAATATTGTATAATTGGCACAAGTGCTTGAGTGAATAAAACCATTGAACCTAATCGTGAGTTCACGCTTGATCAACAGATTGGCCGCGTGAGTTTTCTTCATGTGTCTCAACTAAATAGAGGTCAGTTTTCCATAGAAAAGTTCCTCAGAAGGCACTCCTTTGGCAGATCGCGTACTTGTTGCATTGCGTTATCCATGAATCCATTAATCCATACTATACAGGTTGATTCTAATTATATAAGAAAAATTTCAGGACTGATTCTTCGAATAATTTCAATCATAAAAATTTATATGAACCTATATTCAAAACAACATAGTTGTAATAACTGTTGAAAATGATCGCTGCAAACTGTAACACAGGATTCTATCCTCTGCCATATTGATCGGCGCGCGCGTATTCACAAATACTAGAGGTGTGTCGAATTATATCACAGGATTCGATAATGCGATTCCGTAATTCGTCAACATTTTCAATGGAGTCACATATTAAATATTCTATTATTTTAAAACTATTTCATTTTGAATATACAGTACAGTATATCCAAATGCACTTTTGTGGTTGAAATTATTGGAAGAATCAACTACTGAAATATTTCGCATATATTTAGAATCGCCTTATATAATTGAACGCTTCTATTAACTCACCAAATTTTGAACTTTCTGTGCCCTTTACATATACTATTATTATTTTTTTAATATTATGTAGCTGCATTGTCTTAACTTTTTGTGCCAATTCTTTTGTGCTTTAAAGTATCAATAAGGCGGAGTGTGATTTGAAAGCCATTATGGTTTTATCTAGGCTCACAATAAAGACTTGATTATAAGAGAAGGAATCTGACATATCCAACTGAGCTCTGAAATGAAAAATTCTTGACATTCTCCGCTCAGAACTGATTCCGAGTCTTTCTTAGCGGCAGGCTGACGTCTTAACTATCAATAGTTCGATTATCAAGCTTGCTCACAATATGCAATTTTCCTGCAATTTTTTCTGCAAAGTCAGACCAAGTAAATTTTAATCATTTGTTGTTTAGAAATTGATTCAATGAACCAGACCCGTAAACTATGTGATGATCTATTTCCATTCATTTAGCATCATCAGATTTATAATCAGAGGCGGCGAGAAAGGCGACGCGTCGCGACGCGTTGGGCCTCACAAATTCAGTAGCATATTTTAGTAACTCATTTAAGTTATCAAATTGGTAATTATTGAATCTATAATTGTGTCGGTATATGTTGCAGCTGCAGAACGATCATTTTCAAAATTAAAATTGATCAAAAACTACTCCGATCAACAATATATCTAGAGAGACTTTCTTTATTTTAGATCTTGTCCATTGAAAGAGATATTGCTGCAGAAATGGCTTTTTTATTTATTTCTTCTGCTAAATTAACTTGTAAAATATTTATTTTATACTGAAAATGTAAGTTTTCTAAATGTAAATGATAGTTCTTTTCTGTTTAGTCGTCTGATAAATTCGCGTAGTCTAAACACCTTGTCAGCGGCATGATGTCGAAGCGATTATTGAAGCAACTTTTGTGGCATAGTGTGAACCGAACTTTACAATTGTAAGACATTTTTCGCTGTAAAGTAATAAATTTTAAAACTGTTTTAATATTAGTAGTGATTTTTCGTACATAAGACATTCGCAAAATTTTAGTACCGTAAGTAAAAGTGACTTTTCAATAAATATACTAGAAAAATTTCATAACTAATTATTTTTTACTATTTCCTTTGCTATTTATTTATTTATTTATTCATACCAGTCATATTTGTCTAATAAAACTTAAACCCATATATCAAATAATATATAATTCAATTAAAATAGCTTATTACGAATCTTACAAACTTACTTCATATTATAAAAGTTGTATTACTGAATCCGATATCAAATCAATTCGGAATTATGTTAAATTCGACATAATTCTTAAATTTAGGTATTTTTTTGAAAATCTGAATGTAATAAAAATGTTATATTATTTTTAAATTATATTTTTAACTACGTTATTAATGCTTAAATATATAATTAACTTTTCCATTAATTCTTAATATATAATTATTAAAATACCTCTAATTATTAATTATTAAAATACCTCAATTTCTTCTTGAAAAATCTTTTCGAATTTAAGATACAATCTGATTTTTTAAAAATCAGAATGAATCTTAAATTCGAAGTAAGCAACCCACAACGTCAGTAGATTAACTTAAAGATGAATACACCGAGAAAACAGTCAAGGAAAAAACGCAGCACGATACTAAATATAAACATTTTTTTCAATATTTAATATAATTTTTAAAGTGAAAGAAGAAAAAAAAAGTCACTCCTATAAGTTAGTTTCTAAACATTATTTTAAAAAACTGATTAATCATTCAGTTTGACAATGTCTTAAAGTTTGAAAATTCTTTCGAGTAATGCTTTTTCCAAGTATTTCTAATAGAACAATTACAGTAGATGATGTCTGACCAATTGTTAATTATTTTCTTTATTATATTTTAAACATATTTATTTATTTATTTTTGTATATTTCCATTCTGTCCAATTATTCAATTTAAATAGTAAACTTTTCTTAACTCAAAATTACTTTCGTAACATTTTTGCAATTATTACTAATTATACTGTAGACCCTATTATTTTTTATGACAATTTTCTTACAGAAATGAATCAATTCCTGTCTATAAATCAATATTTATATCAGTAACCTATAAGGATAACTGTCTGAATAGGCGCACTTCATTATAGATATCATTAAATCAGTAGAGATAATATTAAATTCGGCCTAGAATACAAACAGGACATTTTGAAGTCCTAAAGAATTTAAATTTACATGAAGTTTTACATTTAAATTTACATACAATGAAATTTACTTGTTGGTGCAGTATAATTATTATTCTAAATGCAAAACATCCAACACTATTTTGCATTAAAAGAGAAGGAAAGTCTAGAAATTTAAATAGCTTTTTAATTTTATATTTATAACATTTATAATAATAAAAAGTGTCTGAGTAATGAATTTTGAATAAACAGTCTTAAGTAGTTTTATTTTTAATTTACATTTTACAACTTATATTACTGAATTAACATCAAGAAATTATTATTAATTACAGAAATTGTAATTAGAATTTATTTTCTTAATTATTAAATGTCACAGCACTTCATTTGAAAATAATGATAATAAAAGCACTTTGTCGCTTTTTCTTCTCTAATCGAATGTATACTCTTATGGGCTCTCAATCGATAAAAATTGAAAGGATCATGCCTTCACATACTCTGTTTTTAATGTGAATGATTAAGTTAAACAAGTGAAGTGAAAATGTTTTCGCTTATCGAAGTTAGTAGAATTTAAGTCAGAGAAAATAATTTTGAGTAACAGTTTATTTTAAGGAAGGCGTAAACCACAATGATAAAGGTCCTCTTGTAGATAGAGAAGAATACTAAAAAGAGACTGAAGATAATCTTGGAGTACTCTGACGTTCGTCAGTGGGCGTCATGAGATTCGTATTCCTATCTTTGTTTCTCCTTTTTTTAGAACTTCCTTTGAGATATTATTTTCGTTATTTGTCTTCAGAACGAGTAAAAGGTAATCTCTAGCATAAAACTCGACCTTTTCCTCGTTCCTTGCTTCTCGATCCTGTTCTGACCTCCTCCTATCCCCATACATCTGTCATCGCGGATGAGGGAATGACATTCCTGTCTGGGACGGTGTCTCTCTGCTTCGTGTCATTCGTCACATGCCAGCTGGAGACCCGATCCCGACAACGTGTTAATTGTATTAAATATACTTTATTATTATGTACAAATTGTAATTTAAATCACTCTGGAAAAATAAATTAANTAATATTTTATTTTGTATAAAGTGTTTTTCAAATTATAATCTACCAATTTATTATTTAACTATTCTGTACTGTACATTCATAAATTATATTTATCTTAAAATCTTTTAATATTTGTTCACGTGGACGATTTAATATAAATCTTCATCATCATATCTTAGGGGAATGTTCTTGATTTTTAATTAAGTAAAATTGATCAGTTTGTCACGTTTTATAAATATCTAGAAGCTATTTGTCAATAGTATAATAATACACTTCGTAATAAAATTAAAAAATATAAATCTTCGAAAGGTCGATGTAACTTTATAAAATGTTAATAAACTTGAGGAGAAAATAAATTTTATTTTGAAACGTTAGACGAGTTCGAAATTATATATTTTCACAAGAAAAATATTTACAAAACTCATTTAAATTAATCTTTAACTTTTCAGAATATTTTATAAAAAAAAACTTTAATTGAATTTGAATTTTTATACGCAAATTTACTTTTTATTATAATTTATAATTCAATAATAAAAATGCCAATTTATTTAAAATATTTTCTTTTAATTTTTATTTGGTGAACCATTTCATAACATTAGAAACACGTAGAAAAAAAAAATTTATTAAAATCATAAAAATATAAAATACATGTGATTAAATACATGACAAATATATATATAAGTAATTAAATAAGAAAAATATGATGTTTTAGATATGATGAAAATATAATATAATAAATTAAACATCACGAGGTATTTGTTTTGCGAAATTGATACTTAAGAAGTTTCATTAGAGAAAATTCTTAATTCCTTTTTAACTTTTATCTTTATTTTCTGGCTGTAAAAAAATAGAAATAATTTAATTATAATTTCGAAATTCCTTCTTAATTTAAAATATATTTTATTAAATTAATTTAAATAGTAAATTTACTTACCAATAGTGGATAAAGAAATAGAACCGCTGTATCCGAACCCCTACTATTCTCGCTCAAGCATGTATAATGGCCCATATCATTCCATTTTAAATCATAAATAATAAGATCACCATTTTCCATCAGCTAAAATTATATATTAAAATTAATTTATTAACAAATTAAATTTAAAATTTTATTTAAATATTAAATTATTATATTTTTTCAATTTTTAAATAAGAACATTTCTTTAAGTATCAAATATTTTATTTTTCTTAAAATATAATTTTCTGTAATCGCGTACAATTTTTTTTAAAATCAGTTTTTAGGTTATACAATTAATAGGCCTCATATTCTATGTATATGTATTTAATTTATATCAGCTATTTCGAAATCTTTATTACCGATAACCTTAACATTAACACATCGTATGTCTTAAATAATATATATAATTCTTTGCACGCATATTTATGATATAAACCAGATATTTCATTATATTTTATTCAGATTTAATTATCAATATATTAAACAGTTTATACAGGCAAGTTTAGAAAGTAATTAAATAAAAAATATATATATTAAATTCAAATATATTCAGAATTCATTAAACATTTTATTAAACTGTAAACAAATAAAATATTTTATATAATAAAGCTAAAAAAGTTTTTAATTTAGTCGGTTTAATCATCGACTGCTTTAATGGAGCGCGGCTTAGAATTGTATTTTCTAATTTTGTTATTAATTAGGAATATACATTAATAATTTTAAAAACATTAGTAGACAAATACCTAAATATATCTTAAAAAACTTAACATTTTTAAATATTTTAGTTAGGTTAAAAAAATAAATTTTTTCATAGCTTCACGTTCTTAATGTAAAAATATAATAGTTTTAATTCCTAGATATACTAAATAGTTTTTAACATCTACATTTATTAAACTCTTTAATTAAATCTACAATATAATTTTTAAGAGTAAATTTCAATAATTTACTTACCTTATATTTGTTACTATCACTTATAGGATTTTCTTCGGTATCTAACCAAGTTATTTTTGGTGTAGGAGAACCTTCTGAACGGCATATAAGTCTCACATCATAACCTTGAGTTTTCAACATTCTAGTTGTCCATAAATTAATTCTTGCCGAGCTACCTATTGACAAAAAAAAATGAAAAAGTTTTACTTAAAATACTATTGTTTGTATTTTTTTTTTAATTTCGAGAATCATTAATTTAATATTAATGATTATAAATGAAAATATTTAATGATATTTTCTCTTAATTTTAATTGTATATAATATTTAATTTAAGTTAAAACATTATTATTTATTAAAACAATTCTAAATTAAGACATGAACTGTTTCAATTAGTAATAATTAATTTTTTATTCCAGAAAAGAAGATATATTATTGAATGTTTTAAAAGTAATCATTTCGGCTCATTAATATATTTTAAAACTGTAAAAGCACTCATTTGAATTTTAACAAAAAGATAATCTTTAAAAAACATCGTCCTTATTTCTATTTTTTACAGGGAAAAATATCCTATAATTGTTATTTTCAATATATTAATGAATTAAAAGATACTAAGCATTATATTTAATGATTAATGTGAAAATAAAAGCACCAAATTTCAAATTCCTTAAAACATTTTATCAAAAAGAAAAAAGTTATTTGCTTTATAAAAATAATAAAAATACTTTTAATATATGTTATATTTTAATATATAATTATAAATATATAAATTAATTATATTAATTAACAACAAATAATTATTTTTCTTTTTACTTACTGATCTCTTTATCTACACAAAGATCTTCTTCAGATTCCATAATTTCCACCTTCACGTTTTTACTTTTCTTCTCGTAAGCATTTTCAATGACGCAAGTATATTCTCCAGCATCATCCGGAGTGACGCAATCTAAATATAATCTAGATTTGACCATAGTAATAGTATATGATTCCACATCACCATTTATCACTTCATCGGTAGATGATTCCTGGAATTTTCATTCAAAATAAATAAATAAATAAATTTCTATCATAATTAANACTTAACATTTTTAAATATTTTAGTTAGGTTAAAAAAATAAATTTTTTCATAGCTTCACGTTCTTAATGTAAAAATATAATAGTTTTAATTCCTAGATATACTAAATAGTTTTTAACATCTACATTTATTAAACTCTTTAATTAAATCTACAATATAATTTTTAAGAGTAAATTTCAATAATTTACTTACCTTATATTTGTTACTATCACTTATAGGATTTTCTTCGGTATCTAACCAAGTTATTTTTGGTGTAGGAGAACCTTCTGAACGGCATATAAGTCTCACATCATAACCTTGAGTTTTCAACATTCTAGTTGTCCATAAATTAATTCTTGCCGAGCTACCTATTGACAAAAAAAAATGAAAAAGTTTTACTTAAAATACTATTGTTTGTATTTTTTTTTTAATTTCGAAAAGTTTTCAACTTTAATTGATAGTAATGTTTGTAAGCATTAATATTAGTAGTAAGTATCAGCACGTACTGTACATTAATAGTAAACAGTACTAAAATTTAAGTAATACGAAGTAATAGTGTTTTAAGTACTGTACATTCAAATACATTTAAACCTCCAATAACGGCCACCTCTTTTTCGGCAGTTTATTTTTTAATGTACAGTATTTAATGTATTAGTAATTGTAATTACTAGCACTAAAGTAGTACTAAAAATATTAATGATTCTATATTTATAAATAACATTTTACTAAGGATTTAATATTTTTAGTACTATTTTAGTGCTAGTACTTATAATAACATAGTCAAACCTCTAAACAACGGCCAGTGACGGAAACGTAAAAAATGGCCATTATTAAAGGTTTCTTAGTAAAATGTTATGTATAAATATAGAATCTTTAATGTAATATTAGATTATTATTTTACATTTTTTTTTTAAAATGTATATCATTGACATTCAAGTATCGTCTTAAGTAGTCAAGGTTTTCCAAGAAGGGGTTTTTATTATAATAAATTTTAGATAAAAATAGTAAGTTTGCATTTCTTAATTTAATTTAATTTAATTTTTTTAGAATAACCGATTTTGTAATTAATAACTCTCTTTCTTACTTTTTTNACTATCATCGGACTTGGAGAAGCTCCGGCTTCACATTCCAAAACACGATTCGAACCAGCTAACAACCGTATAGAAGATGGCGGTTTCTTGTGAAATTTCAAAAATTCGGCTAAAAGATTAAGTACAAAACTTAAATTAAAATGCTTTTTCTTTTTAACTTTGAAAAAATTAATTAAATAAAGTTTTAATTTTTACAAATTCGGGCATTAAGCTACTTACCGCTTCGTTTCATTCTTCTAAAAACGTTTTGATGAGCAGAATTCTGTAATAATTAGCATAAAATTTTAAAAAATTGTATTATAATTTAAAATAGATAATAATTATTAAAAATTTGTCTACTTACTCCAATTGTTCTTTTATTAGAAATCACACGCGATAATGAACTACCAATCATCGCACTTAGAAAAACGATGATGGTGGCAAAACTTATCCAATTTTTCATTTTTAAAATTATTTGCTGAAATAAATTAATTAAATAATTAAAATAATAATAATAATTTAAAATAATTTTTAAAGTAATTTTATACTTTTTAAAAACTAAGAACTTCATCTAAATTTCAATTTTGATGAATAAAATCTCAAATAATGAATAAAATTATAAAAAAAAAGAAATTAATAATATTTATATTAAATAATCTATATATAATAAACAAACAAAAAGAGAAATAATAATATTTACAATAGCGCTAAACTAAGTTTGTAAGTAGCTAACCTGTGATAAACTTGTAGTAAACCCTTCTTCTCCGATAATAGAAGCAAATGTGACGAAAATGAAGCAGAAGATGCTTTTATACGCTCTTCGCAATTCAACGTCTACCTGGCTTACGTCACGTCTAACAGTTTCAAGGCGACCCTCCTTTACCACGTGATGATCGTCACGTGATCAATCATCATTGACTGACGGGTTTAAACAACGTAAATATTTAACATCGAATCATATTACATTATTTCATAATCAACTACGCGAATGAAAAAAAAATCTAATTTTTTTTAATATATATCTCATAGTTACTTTTATTACATAATTCCAACCGGGAAAAATTTTTAAATAGTATTCTTCTGACACGATTTTCCGGTTATTAATTGAATTAAATCTCAAATTTTGCGATTTTTAAGACTGTATCGTCCTTTCTCTTTTTAAATTTATTGTTTTGCAATGTAGATTATTAATAATTTAATATTCAAATGAGCCAGAATGTATAAATTATAATAGAATTAATCAATTTAAAGTGTTACAAATTAAATAATTCTCAATTAATTACCGCATTTTCAGTCAATGGCTCTTATCAATGAAGAATGTCACGTGAAACACCCTGTAGTATTTCCTGTCTGTCGTAAAATTTCAAACACACCCTCTTAAGAGTACGGAGGTTAAACAGGATCATTTTTTTTCCTACTTCACTTATTTAATCTATTACAATCGTTTTTGGCACCGAAAGTGATTCGTAGTGAGGTGATGATGCAACTCCCCACACATATTAAGACATTCTTTTCTTTCCTAGTATTGAGATAATTAATGGAAAGGATGTAAAATATGAGTAATCGCGATTAAAAAAAAGCCGCAACCCAGTTATAAAATGTTATTAAAATAATTGGTGTTTATTTATTAGAATTATAGTTCTGAAAACAGGATGATTGTATCCTTAAACAAAAGATGGTAGCCGATAAAATCCCCCTATTGAAATAACCCCGATTCGTATCAATAGGGGGCCCTTATGTTAGGTTATAAAAGGGGAGCCCTAACTCAGTTGCCTGTCCTTGCATCAAGGACATATATTATTGACCTTTTTTCTTTTTTAATTTTAAATTGATTTTTAATTCTAAACATTTAATAATTATTATNAATATAGTTTATTTTCTACATTTAGAAAAACATTACATTTCATGCATAGAGAGTACAAATACATATAGTACATACCTATTTATTTTTAACAAAGTCAGAGGGCTATCTAGATAATTGGAATTTTACTGTAATTATTATTATAGACGTACATTTTTCGTGAATTATAAAGTGAATTGAGACAGAGTAACGGACATATTTCTTTGCAGTTGTAAACTTTTAATCATATGATCATAAAAGGCTATATATTTATCTTCCTGACAGCATTTATCAGTTCTAAACAAAATGTGAGATCATCAATGGTGTTAGGACGAAGTTGAAAGTTATAGTATAGCCTATAGTCCTGAAAACAGAAAACACATCTATTGGTTTAACCATGATGAATACGGTGGAAGAAATTTAAATGTCATTTGCTTTTTCCTGTAAATAATCAGTAATTCTTTCACTATAGAGAGCGAACAGTGTCTATAATCAACATAGAATCCATATTACAAAGATATTACGAAAATACAGTATTATGTACACTGCCTGTATGAATATACACTAATTCATTTTCTCTCGAGCGCACATTTTCAAGATAAAATTGATGATAAACTTATTAATTTGTAAAAGAACCTGAGTCGATTCGTTAAAATTATAAACAATTCTCGAGTTATTTATTATTTATTTTAATAACAACTTGAAATAGCAAAAATACATCATTCCAAAAAATTTTAAATCTGATTAATATCTGCAAAATCTATTTCTTTGTAAGAACATTCTATTAAATCGCAATTAGTAACATAGCTTATTTATTAACACGATTCTATATTTAAGTAAAGTAATTATAATTTTTTGCAATGTTTTCGTTAAAAGCCCAGTCTTCCATAAAGTTTTGAAATTGTCTTCTAATTTCAAAAGAATTACGAAGAGTTGCTCTAATTAATACATGTTCTAAAAAGTTTTTGAACTATTTCATTCGAAGTTTTCGTTATTTTCCACAATCCTTTGTTCAGATAGTGCCAGATACTGTATACACTAAAATCATTTAGTATATACAAGTAAAAGACTTATATTAAAGTTAGGCATATGTAAGACTGTAATGGAGAATATACGGCATATACTCAATGCCTTTCAAAAGTGTAATATGTATACTACAGAAAGTTATCGTTTTCCTACGTTATATTATAATAATAAATCTAAATACTGTAATATTTAATTTGTTTTTAATTTGAAATAACCGAAACATCTTAATTTTTAACGTTCTATTAAAACTTCTTTTATTATTTCTGTTACCAATTTAAAAAATGTAAAAAATTTTCGATTACAGCATTGGATGAATGTATACTGTATATATATAGCTATATTTATAAATATTGCATATATTTAAAGTAGAGTAAAATATTTACGGGTATTAATCGCTACAGAGGCCTTCACAACTGTGAATGTTCTGAGGCCCCCCATAAATAAATCCGTTCTGAGCCGAGCTTAGACATGTGGTTGTATTTTTATATATATATTATATGTATGAGTCTAAACAGATGCTGCATATATGCAGCATCTGTTTAGACTCATACATATAATATATATATAAAAATACAACCACATGTCTAAGCTCGGCTCAGAACGGATTTATTTATGGGGGGCCTCAGAACATTCACAGTTGTGAAGGCCTCTGTAGCGATTAATACCCGTAAATATTTTACTCTACTTTAAATATATGCAATATTTATAAATATAGCTATATATATACAGTATACATTCATCCAATGCTGTAATCGAAAATTTTTTACATTTTTTAAATTGGTAACAGAAATAATAAAAGAAGTTTTAATAGAACGTTAAAAATTAAGATGTTTCGGTTATTTCAAATTAAAAACAAATTAAATATTACAGTATTTAGATTTATTATTATAATATAACGTAGGAAAACGATAACTTTCTGTAGTATACATATTACACTTTTGAAAGGCATTGAGTATATGCCGTATATTCTCCATTACAGTCTTACATATGCCTAACTTTAATATAAGTCTTTTACTTGTATATACTAAATGATTTTAGTGTATACAGTATCTGGCACTATCTGAACAAAGGATTGTGGAAAATAACGAAAACTTCGAATGAAATAGTTCAAAAACTTTTTAGAACATGTATTAATTAGAGCAACTCTTCGTAATTCTTTTGAAATTAGAAGACAATTTCAAAACTTTATGGAAGACTGGGCTTTTAACGAAAACATTGCAAAAAATTATAATTACTTTACTTAAATATAGAATCGTGTTAATAAATAAGCTATGTTACTAATTGCGATTTAATAGAATGTTCTTACAAAGAAATAGATTTTGCAGATATTAATCAGATTTAAAATTTTTTGGAATGATGTATTTTTGCTATTTCAAGTTGTTATTAAAATAAATAATAAATAACTCGAGAATTGTTTATAATTTTAACGAATCGACTCAGGTTCTTTTACAAATTAATAAGTTTATCATCAATTTTATCTTGAAAATGTGCGCTCGAGAGAAAATGAATTAGTGTATATTCATACAGGCAGTGTACATAATACTGTATTTTCGTAATATCTTTGTAATATGGATTCTATGTTGATTATAGACACTGTTCGCTCTCTATAGTGAAAGAATTACTGATTATTTACAGGAAAAAGCAAATGACATTTAAATTTCTTCCACCGTATTCATCATGGTTAAACCAATAGATGTGTTTTCTGTTTTCAGGACTATAGGCTATACTATAACTTTCAACTTCGTCCTAACACCATTGATGATCTCACATTTTGTTTAGAACTGATAAATGCTGTCAGGAAGATAAATATATAGCCTTTTATGATCATATGATTAAAAGTTTACAACTGCAAAGAAATATGTCCGTTACTCTGTCTCAATTCACTTTATAATTCACGAAAAATGTACGTCTATAATAATAATTACAGTAAAATTCCAATTATCTAGATAGCCCTCTGACTTTGTTAAAAATAAATAGGTATGTACTATATGTATTTGTACTCTCTATGCATGAAATGTAATGTTTTTCTAAATGTAGAAAATAAACTATATTCATTTGTAAGTGCTGTACATTTCCACATTTAATATTTTATTTGAATATAATTATGTATACACATACATTACATAACGGAGATTTTAGATTTTTTTTCAAAAACATGAGTATTTCAAGCAAAAATCCAATTATCCGGCTATTCGCATATCCAGATGGCCCGAGGTCCTAACTAATTAAGATAATTACAGTTTTACGAATAAATTAAGTTCGGTTAAAAATATTTATATTTCATTCATCATTATTACATTCATAAAGCATGTAGTAAACTATTTGCATCAATTTTTTAATATGGTCTTATAAAATAATGTACAGTACTATGCGTTGATAGATTGTTAGAAACTATATTTTCTATTATATAAAATATATTGCAATTAGACTGTTGCATAGTATATTAAAACTTTAAAAATATAATTATATACAGAGACGGATTTACGTGTAAGCTAAACAAGCGGCTTAGGGCCTCACGTTACGAGCTGCGTCAAATTGTAATCTCAAAGACAGTATATACACATTTCTCATTATTATTTAATGAAGATGGAAGGGCCTCTTTATGTTGTAGCGCAGGGCTACAACAAAATCCGGTCTGAGTATATAAAATACTGCACAAATCAAGAAGCAATTTTTCTTTAGTCACCGTAATCTTCCAAATTGGTATAAAACTTTACAGTAATTTTGCAGTTATGTTCATTAATTTCTGAAATGCTTCTTCTAAAATTTTACGATGCACTTTAATCTTGAAATAATTTTCTTTAAAAATGTTTTTTCTAATAACGATATACTGTATATGTTTAATTCTTACAAAAGCTCTTTTTTTCAATATTCCTGGGAATAGTGAAATTCTTCCGTAATTTTTTTGAATTAATTCTACTATTTATATGCTATTTAATTAAAATTTTCTCAAAATTTTGAAAGTTATAAACTATTTTTTTTTTCCAAAGTTTTCGTTATTTTTCACGATCTTTTACTTAAAGAATGCCAGAGATTATATTATA